CGTGATTAATCAATGACCAGATTTTTCGAAACACCCTGTATACATTTTTAAAAAATCTTAAAACATGTAAAAAAACAAAATAAAATATACGTGTTTAAGCGTTTTTTCGGAAACTTGACCGTTTTTTAAATAAAAAATATTGTAACTCTCCCTCTTGGAAAAATCCCTTCTTATCGAACCTCTACACCCTAGAATCAACCTGTATGCCAAAATTGAGCTTCTTACGTTGAGTGGTTTGAGCAGGATCGTGATTAATCAGTCACTTAAGAATTTTATATATTAGTATAGATTAGGAATATTAAGGGTGCATCCACACCTTTGACTATACAGGGTGTTTCAAAACAAATGCGAAAAACTTCAGGGGGCGATTCCTTGTTCAAAATAAAGGATAGTTTGCTTCATAAACGTTGGGTCAAACGTCAACCATTAGGGAGATATCGCGGTACAAAGATTGAGGAAAAATAATGTTTTTATTTTTTATCTTGAAAACGAAAAGAGATAGACTATAGACTAATGAAATTTTATGGGAGCATTACTGTTATCGAAACACACTTTCTGGTAATTTTTTCACTTTTTTAAAATGAGTAGAAGGGGTTGAAATAAACTACCCCTATCATTCTTGTTAACGAAATTTAAAGAAAAATCTTATCAAACACATGCAAAAAAAATTAATTTGGATAGTCTGGTTTGTTTAGAAACTTTTTGAAATTAAAAAATAAAATGTAAAGCATTACATGTCAGGATAAAAAAACATTTTTAGATAAGGAATCTAGTGATAATAACGATAATAATAAGAATCTAGATAATAACGTATTGCAGTAGAGTAATGTCAATAAAATAATATTAGAAATATCCCCTAAAAAGTGACAGCGACCGACTAGATTTTATCCTAAAAAAATTAGAGCAGCCCACTAGATTCTCCTCTATCTAAAAATGTTTTTTGTCCTGACATGTAATGCTTTACATTTTATTTTTTAATTTCAAATCGGTGAGTTTTATCAAAAAAACATAAGAGATAAAAAAGTTTCTAAACAAACTAAACTATCCAAATTAATTTTTATTAATTTTTTTGCATGTGTTTGATAAGCTTTTTTTTAAATTTCGTTAACAAGAATGATAGGGGTAGTTTATTTCAACCCCTTGCACTCATTTTAAAAAGTGAAAAATTACCAGAAAGTGTGTTTTCATAACAGTAATGCTTCCATAAAATTTCATTAGTCTATCGTTTTTCGTTTTCAAGGTAAAAAATAAAAACATTATTTTTCCGCCATCTTTGTACCGCGATATCTCCCTAATGGTTGACTTTTGACCCAACGTTTATAAAGCAAACTACCCTTTATTTTGAACAAGGAATCACCCCCTGAAGTTTTTGGCATTTGTTTTGAAACACCCTGTATAACCCCTACGGATCCACACTATCCTAGAAACGGCGTATTGGCGTAACGACCTTGAATCGATTTCCAGCAATTCTATTAGTTGAAATTTTGCACCCTAATAGAGATAAATATTATTAATGTAAAAAAAAATCTGACAAAATTGTAGGGTAGGCGCCGCCTACCTTGCCTACCCTGACGAGCCGCCACTGGGATAATTTCTGATTTCTGCCGTTGAAGCGCTGCGGTCGGAATTTGTTGAAATCAACTGAAATGCACCAACCCAATCGATGACTAAAGAATACAAGGACAAATAGCACCCGAGACCAAACCAGAGACCAAACTGTGACCATTCTTCCAAACAGTGCCGTGGCGCATATTTTTCTTAACATAGCCGCTTGATATTTATATTTTTGATAAATGTTTTCACTACGCCTATGATGTATCTGGTGGTATCATACTAATTAATTACGAAAAAACCGCATTAAAATGTTAACAAAAGGTACAAAACTAGTATCGACGGATAGCACATATCAAGTACATAATATCAGAAAAATAATTATCGAATTCAATAACGCTAAAAAGGTGTAGTGGACTGTTTATTTCCCTATAAAACGTAACTCCTGACTCTTTCTTATTATTGCGCCTTTTACATTTGAAAGCTGAACAAATTACCATTGTAATACAGTTTATACAAAGTTCACTATACACAACCAACTATTAAAAATCGCTAAAATTGTTGCTGATGACTCATTTGTTATGTCCAAAAAAAATGGCGTCTAAGTCTAAGGTCACAAATTCTGGTGCAGCCCGTATATGGGCGTTACATGTTCTTGTATTCTTTAGTCATTGAACCCAATACTTTAATTTATTTGCAAACGATGGACAAAAAATAAAACAACGACAAACAATTAAGTATTTTTATTTTTGTTAAATAAAATAACATGTATGGATATGACTGTGGATCGCTGCGGTTGTAACAAAAATAATACGAAGAAGAAATAATTCCATTAACTTAATACAATAATATAATATTAATATTAAATTATTTTTTGGTATATTTATCAAGTTACTGTATAAATTATACGTAGGTACATAAATATATACAAGAAAAACGTCGCTTTTTTCATTTCTTTTATTCACTATTTTTATAACTAAAGTTAAATATATAACACAGCCAAATAGTGCTGTTCACTTCCATTATTAATAAAATGAGTATTTTTACTTTTTGTTAACGTTAATACCTACAGTGTGTGCCGAAAAGTTCGCAATATATTGGGAAAGCTTTCAAAATTATATTTTTTCTCATTTTTTGAAACAAAAATTTTACTTTTAAAAACACCATTAATATTTTAAATACAGTAAAGAGGAAATTTTACATATTGAGGATTTTTTCTTCCCGAATTTACTGTTTTTTTTTTAAATTTTAGCAAAATATACAAGATTTTCTGAAAATCATTCAGAACCTCTCCAAACAATTGATGTTTTTTAGCTGTATATTTAGGAAAATTCGTACAAAAATGTAGAATCAAAAACTTCAAGTAACACTTCTCAGTAAAATTTTAAAAATTTTGTCATTTAACCGCATTTTTACATGTCAAGATAATTTTTTTTATATTAGGCGTACTAAATCGATTCTGCATAACCTTTACTTCAATATCCCAATAATAGACAGTTAAAGCACGGCCGAAGACGTAGACGTAAACGTATCGCTTGACATGTACGCTTGCGCAGTGAGAAATTCACTTGCGTTTACGGATACGTGATACGTATCTTTACGTACGTACAAAAAGCAAACGTATCGAGCCGAAGGAGTTTCGATTTTCACCCGAATGTTGCCGAACGTACAAATTCACAAACAACTGGTTAGTAATTCAGTTATTTCATAAATTTTGGGGCCAGTGTAACAGAACTGGGCCTATTTTATTACAATATAAATTAGTATGAAAATATTAAGCATCATAATAAACTAATTTTGGAATCTATTTAATTAAATGCTAGTTCTTAGCCAAAATCCATATGAGGATTCTAAAAGATGGACTCTAATAAATAATCATAAAACTGTGTCTGTCTTCCAATATTTTTTATTACTAAGAGCATTTTAAGTTGTAAGGACTACTTTCTGTGATAAAATAATTTCCATTTATAATTTTCTTCATTTTTCGCACTTTTTTAAATTTAATGTGGAATCAATGGAATAATAGATATCCATTTTCAGTTTTAAAATTAAATAAATTGTTTCACAAAATAAGTTAGAATTACAAATGTACCATTTGCGTTACGTACGTCAAAATATTTGCTTTAACTCTTGTTTACACGACAACGCAACGGCAGACGTAACATAGGTTTCTGCGTTACGTGTCGAGAGATACGTATACGTATTGTGCCTTGCTTTAACTGTCTAATATTTTTTCCCATTTGTTACAAAATTTTTGACTCACACTGTATAACGACTTTACAACATAATATCAACCTTCGAACTATAGTCGGATTGTACTATATTTTATAAACCATCAGATAAAAATGTTCAAACTAAAAATCATCAAACTAATATGGATATTGAAGTCTACTGTCGAAGCACTGTCATTTGCATGTGACATTGACAGAACTCGTGACATATTAATCCGGACGTTTTTTGCCAAAAATCACGTCATAGGTTGTTTCTCGCAAAAAACGTCCGAAATTCGGATGCATGATTTGATATTATTGCAAATTTAAACATTTTTAACATGATATAGAACAAATAATTTAAGAACTCCTCTTTCATAATTTGACATTGTCGTTTATCGTTCTAGAAAGATAATAAAGTCCCTAAGAAGATAACAGACAACTGTTAAGAATCAAATGGTACCACCATGTCTCAACCGTATCAGTCCTTGACGAAGCTAGCTGAGAGAGCGCTGAAGTCACGATTACTAAATCCCGCTTAAGATGGGCTGGCCACGTATGCAGGATGCAAGAAAACCGCCTACCGAAATCTCTTCTTTACGGTGAGCTTGTAAACGGTAAGAGAAAACCGTGTGGACAACTCAAAAGATACAAGGATATTTTCCATGAAAACTTAAAGAGGAAAAGTATGCAGAATCAGTGGGAGGAAGCAGCGCACAATAGAACGCAATGGAGGAGAATTGTAAACTCAGTTAACAACGACAATCAAAAAGTAAAGAGGCAACAAAGTAATGAGATTTTTGAATGTCCGGACTGCAGAAGAGAGATAACATCACGTATCGGGCTTTTCAGTCACAGAAAAGCTCATTAAAGAAAACGCCTTGCGTAACTATCTTCTGATACGTGTCAAATACTCGTCAGCGAGTAATGGCAGTAAGTAAGGAGATAACAACAGCAACATAACCACTTTTTAACTTAAAGATCACATGCTTTGAAATCTATCTTTTTATTTACTACATTAAGACATAATATATGTATTTCAACTTAAAATAGTCAAGCTGAGAATTCTTAAAAGACCCTAACTATAGAAAATCTTCAAATTTTGACATTATTTATGTTGTAAAGTCAATTGAATAAATACAAAATGTCATACTACGGACTCTATTAGGACATTTATTATTAACTTTGCTTCAATGTTTCTTTTGATATGGAAATCTTTAAATCTCTTTTACTTATATGTGTGCATAACTTTCATAACAATTACTCTTATTTAATTTTATTGTAACATCCAAATTGTTCAAGCACAAAAGTATATTATTGTGAGAGGTAAAATGATTAAACGTACCTTCAAATCCTACATTTTACAATTTGGTTCTTTTTTATTTTAACTAAAGTCTTTTTAATTGCGAAAAAATATTAACAGTCCTAGAAAAAAAACATAAAAAAAACTAATAATAGTAATAATGTATCTAAGTTGTTGCTTTTCAGACGATTAAAAATTATATAAGTTACATAAACATAAATTATTACTACACTATTTACAGATATATAATTTCTAAATGTAATGCAGGGGTGCGAAATAAAAATATAGATATTTTTAAGGTCCTGCTATATGTATATATAAAGTTAGAGTAGTGTTCGGGTCTATATACAATGTTTATATGCTTACGTTAGGATGGAGACGAAAAAATAAAAAGAAACAGTCATATTGAACTAGAGTTAGTTGAGCTTGAACGTATTTATATCTAAAATCTTTAGAAATATAAAAAAAAGTTTAGATAAAAATCATTTGTTGACTATCTTATTAACTGTCTGTTGAACGTGGGAATATAAGACAGTGCTAGTTGTTATCTATCATTTTAATTCAAAAGAAAATTGTATTTTCTGTCATTGTTTTGTATATATCGTCTGTCAGAATCGTTGCATCACTTGCTGGACAGACTTTACTAAATCTCTTTTTATTTCGAAATATTTTAGATATTCAATAATTATATTTTTCATCTAACAAAAAAAATTATCAACTATGAATAGATACAATTGAGACAGTTAAGTCGATGCTGTCAGTATCGAAATTTAGAAAGTATCGATATTAAGATCTGATTTATATTTCGAAAGTGTGGGCGTTTAGAAAACGTCGACATTTAGAAATTATCGATATTTAGAAAAAGCCAATAATTAAAAAATATCGATATTTAGAAAGTTTCCAGATTTAGGAGGATGTGTCGATGTTTAGACAGTATCGACATTTAAAAAGTGTCGATATTTAGAAAATGTCGATACTTAGAAAGTAACAGCATTTAAAAAGTATCGATATTTAGACAGTATCGACATTTAGAAAGTATCAATATTTAGAAAGCTTTGTCATTTAAAATATCAATAATTAGAAAATATCGATATTTAGAAAGTTTCGATATTTTAAATGTATCGAAATTTAGAAAGCATCCACATTTGGAAAATATTGATATTTGGAAAATATCGATTTTCGGAAAGTATCGATATTTAGGAAATATCGACATTTAGGAAGTATCGATATTTAGAAAGCTTTGTCATTAAAAAATATTAATAATTAGAAAATATCGATATTTAGAAAGTTTTGACATTTAAAAAATATCGATATTTAGATAGTTTCTATATTTTAAATGTATCGATATATAGAAAGCATCTACATTTGGAAAATATTGATATTTAGAAAATATCGATATTCGGAAAGTATCGATATTTAGAAAATATCGACATTTAGAAAGTATCAATATTTAGAAAGCTTTGTCATTAAAAATATCAATAATGAGAAAATATCGATATTTAGAAAGTTTTGACATTTAAAAAATATCGATATTTAGAAAGTTTCAATATTTTAAATGTATCGATATTTAGAAAGCATCCACATTTTGGAAAATGGTAATTGGTAAATATCGACATTTAGGAAGTATCGATATTTAGAAAATGTCGATACTGACAGCACTTTTATTTTCTGACAGCTCTTTTTTATACAACGTGATTCAAAACGGCAAAATGAAGTAAGTTTCTTAATTATTAATTTAGACGCCTCAATTTTATCTTCTTCATAGCTACATATACACAGGGTGTTACTTAAATAATTTCAAACATTTTCATGAGTTGTAAATTTCCAAAAAAAAATATTTTCTATTTTTCGAACAAATCCAAAATAGCCGAGTTATTTAAGCTTATGAATTCAAAAAATAAATTTTCATATTTCAATAGCCATCACTATAGAACGTATCATAAAATGCCAGTTTGTTTTCGCGTAAAAAATCTTATAGGCGTTGTTCTGCTTAACAGCCTATTAAAGTATTTGCACTTATTTAAGAACCACCCTGTATATTTGTATCTTACAAGCTATAATACAGACAACGCTAGAAGATCAGTTCACATTTAATATTTGATAAAATCTTGTTTTTATTAAATTACATTGCATAGTTTGGCGCAAAAATCGTACCCTTTATTAGTCTGCTTCTTAAGGCGGGTTCCCACTTGTCAGTTTGCTGAAGCAGTCTGGTTTAATGTCGCTGATACAAAGACGGAAAACGACGCTTGTGTTCATGCGTGGTTCAAGTTCAAGTTTAACAAGTCACAGTTTCCCCAAAACAAAAAAAAACTGCAGACTGTAATCACAGTTCAGTCAAAATGAACAAAAGTAGAACTAGAGCTTCCCCTGTCATCGAAAGTGTGAAAATACTGAGAAATTTCACTGAAAATATATTCTCACGTTCATTATTCGTTCAGGAACATTCTGAATCAGTCAGACTGCTTCTGTGAGACTGACATGTAAAAACCTATCTTCAATTTTAAACAATAATCATCGAAAAAAAAACATAATTTCTACAGCATATTATAGTCTTAACGATAAATCTACAATACTTTTGTCCTCGAAGGTTTATTTAAAATATAATTTTACTCATTAATCACGAAAATATATGTATATGATTTTTCAATCTACTATATTTTTGTTTGTATTATTATTTAAACGATCTCTCTTCTAAAAAATACCACTTCTTCACGGTAAAATATTTATATTTATCTGTATTATTATTTTCTTTTCTTTCTAAAGAAGGTACTCGTAACGTTCTTACTGTCAAAGTAAGTATACAGTGTGTTCAAGAAATTCGGACAATCTTTTTCTTCATCTACGACTACCACTTCAAATGTAACATTTATTTTCTCTACTAAACAATATTTTTAAAATAAACTCTACCCTTTGTTTTTTTAATTAGACCATTTTACTCTAGAGACTATAAGAACACAAAATAATAACTATGTTTTTATATATCTTTTTTCTATCTAATACAGAAGAATTTAAAAAATATCGATATAATCAGTATCGATAATTATCGATGCTCATCTAAAAAATACTTACAAAGTAAGTAGCATTTGGAAAGCGTCGATATTTAGAAAGTATCGATATTTGATAAGTATCGATATTCAGAAATTATCTATATTTAGAGTGTAGTAGATTTGTAGAAAGTATATCGATACTGTCAGTATCAATAAATAGAAAATATCGATATTTATAAGTATATTTATAAAGTATCGGTATTTATGAAAACTGTCGATATTTAAGGAGAACCGTAATTTAGAAAAACTATTGATATTTAGAGCTACTGATATTTAAAAAGTATCGATATTAAAAAAACGATACTGTCAGAATCAATATTCAAGAAGTATCGATAGAAAGTGTCGATACTTAAAAAGTATCGATATTTAAAAAGGGTCGATATTTAGTATCGATATTTAGAAAACATCGATATTCAGAAATTATCGATATTTAGAGTTGTATGCTTAGAGAGTATCGATATTGAAAATCGATACTGCCAGTATCGATAATTAGAAAGTATCGATATTAGGACAATATCGATAGTGATATAATATACAGAGACTTTTATTGCCAAAAAAAAATCTTGTCATTCCGAGTTTCTCGGACACAGTGTATTATCAAAAATCTCTAAAAAACGCCGCTAAGTTTATCATCGCAATTTTTATTCTTTTTTTCCTAATATTTGTTTAATATATTTATGTATATTATACTCTTATTTCTCTCTATAAAATTCGACCTAAGGAAAATTCTATTCTATGAAAGGTTAAGATTTGATTAGACCAATGATTTGACTAAAGCAAAGCGAATGTTCAAGTTCGATGAGCGGTGATATCTCTAAAACAAACAAAAATATGTTATATTACGACACAATAATACAGAATTCTGATTGGTTCAATAGATATTAGACAATCTTCCAATCAATTTAATGTGATTTGGGTTAGAATAGAATACTGTTTATAATGCAAAATAAAATGAATAAAAAAAAATAAAAGTTAGAAATACTTACCCAAATACTTTTTAGTAACTAGCTTCGTGACCGGCGAGAATATACAAATCGTGGCCTTCCTCATTGGTCAGCGTACCACTTCTTAACAGATTACTTTCCAACATTACTACCCTATAAAAAGAAAGAAATATCAATAACAAACACGTGTATTATTACCTATTATATATTTTTTTTAATTTCACCTCAATTGATTGAGATGGATTATTTGTTATATAAATCTGGTTTATCTGTTAGTTATTTTTCGTTGATTTGTTTGTTCCGTGTCAATTTTAAGTGTAATATAATAGATATTTACGATACAAGTGAGTTAACAGCATCATTAAGATACGCGTGTGAAAGTTGCACAACGAGTGCGTAGCACGAGTATCTTAATATACACAAGTATCTTAATGGAGTTAACTGGTGTGTATTGTACAATATTTGATCTATGTCTAACTATAAAAACACACAATGAATTTTAAAAATGATTGTACTTAACTATAAACCTATCCTAAAAATCAATTACCTTAATACCTTTGTTCAAATAATACCATGCATGGCAATGTCAATATGACAGTAAATAATATTGATGTCACTAGTTTAAAAAATGAGCGTTTCGGAAAGTATTCACTCTGACATTGAAGAAGAGGCATTCAGAGCCATTTCTGGATTGCTTCCAGCAAGATCGAAACAGAAGTATGAATATACATACTCAAAAGACGGTCCTACACGATGCGTCCAACGTTCGAACGAATGTGTCTCCTACACGATGCTTCGACGTTCCAACGTTGGACGCAAACCTGGCGCTACATTTGTGAAATTAACTCAGTGTCGTACGTACTCTTGGCTTGAGCAGATATGGATAATGTATTAAGTGCTAGGATTGCCGCTGGTATGATAGTTTTAAGTTGTGCTAAACTGTTAAGAAGCAAAAGAACTAAACAACAGAAGCAAAAGAAAAAGAAGACGTAACAGGATTTTATTTCTTGTTACTCTTATGAATCTGTCTATAGCATCATAAGCAAACCTAGATTGTTTGTATATATCTGCACTTCCAGATCCGGTTGTATAAGAATCTATAACTTTCCTCCTCAACGTTCTATACGTTGCCATTACAGATTCTTTTTTTTTTCAATTCTGCTACTGACAAGTCCATACTCATTTCCTGAGAAATGTCACGCCAAGCATCATTTAAGGCATTCCGGTTTTTATTCTCGGAATGCCTGGGATTCCATATAATTGGATATTTCTCGTAAATCGAAATAAATTCAATTATCATTTGATTATTCCACTCCATTTTAACTAAAAACGGAAAATTTTAAAAGTAATTTTAGTAAAAGTAAAAACTTATTCACATATCTAATATAAGAAGAAAATCTTGATGAATAGAAAAAGTGAATGAATAAAAGGAAATTTCAGTGTTTTCACTAAAGTAATGTAATAACCAAAAATTCTGTCAGATATTTATTAACACAAAGAAAACCATTAATTAATCTTTCTATATACCTATGTATGTACTTACATATTTCTGGCAAAGAACAAATCACGAAAAATTTTCAGCCTGAGGAGACCACGTTTTAGCATTAAAGCGAGGCCGCTACTGATCCCTAGTAAAATATCAGCCACGTGAAGACTCTCGTGTAGGAGCGCATCGAACATTACTTCGAACGTTGGAAGGTCCTTTGACTTGCGTAAAATTTACCGACAAGAGCCCGAACTTGCTTCGAACGTTCGACACATGGATTTCTGCGCTCCCACACGATGTGGCGAATGCCGTGCGTCCAACGTTTGAAGGTGTTCGCCACATCGTGCAGGACCGTCTTAGTATGGAAAATAGTGCACCGAAAAAAAAGTTCAATTATGGAAATGAAAAGGTACTCACAACATATTTTTCCAATTTAGTGCAAAATAAATGTTTTACAAAATATTTTTTCTTTTTGGTAGTCATCTAAACAAGGAGTGCGGTAATGAAAATGCGTGAGTTAAGAAGCTCTTAACTCACTCAAAATGCGTGAGTTAAGAGCTTCTTAACTCATTAACGAGTTTATAATCATTTGCCGATGATGCTAACATGGTTAGCGAAACGCGCGTCCAGTGTAAAAGTGTTTTGGTGTATTGTGGTGATTTAGTGTTTTTATTTTTCATTACGTAGATAAAAGATAGTAAATAAAAAAAGTAAGTGTTCTTACTTGTCTGAACCCAACAATTTGTATGTTCTGGACGTATCTGTAATTTCTTGAGTGATCTCACCATTTCTCAGCGACCTGCCTTGCACACCGTGCTTGTAGAAGGCTAGGACGCTATCGGGAAGACATACTGCAAAATTCAAATTAAAATTGTATTAATATTCAATACATTATAAAGTATTTTTTCTGTTTCTTATATTCAAAAATAAAACAAACTGTTCTACACAGTAAAATAAAAACCTCACAGTAAAATAAAAACAAATATTTCAAAAAAAAGTTGTGTGTCATTGTGATTTCATATTTTCTTCATATGCAGAGTTCTGCAACAATGCGCCAGGCATCTGTAGGTTTTATAAAAACGAAGTATGTATTAGAGCCTATTTGAGGAAAATATTTTGACTTCTACAGGGTGGCTCAAAAAGTGTGTACTTTTTTGTAAAAAAACTGAAATATATTTTTTATTCATTTTATAATATCTCTAAAACTACCAAAACAAATATAGTGATATCTTAGGATTATATAAACTTATCAGAAAGGGGATCAAAAATGCAATAATATATCGATCAATTCACACTTTTTGAGCCACCCTGTAGAAGTTAAAATATTGTCCTCAAATACATCCAAGTACATACTTTAGGTTTGCACTTATACTAAATTCCTAAGCTTTTTATTATATGAGCTACAGATGCCCGACGAACTATTGCAAGACACAAACTACAAACATATTACAAACAACTGTAAAATAATAGATATTTACGATACAAGTGAGTTAACAGCATCATTAAGATTCGTGTATGAAAGTTGCACAACGAGTGCGTAGCACGAGTTGTGTAACCACACAAGTATCTTCATGGAGTTAACTCGCATGTATTGCACAATATTTTATCTACGTCTAACTATAAAAACACACAATTTGCAAAAAAACCTTCAATTTGCCACGGCTAGTCGTCAGAATCAGAATTTGAATATATCGAATACAAGTTCGGGAAATGTAGCTGCTTCATCAGGCATTTACTTGAAAGATTGTTCAAACTGTATCATTAACATTTATAATAAATAAGTTTTCATGTTTTTATAATTATTATCAATAGAACAGTTTATTTGTATTTAGTAGGTATTTAGTGCAAAATAAAGGTTTTACAAAATATTTTTTTCTCTTTGGTAGGCATCTAAACAAGGAGTGCGGTAATGCAAATGCGTGAGTTAAGAAGTTCTTATATCACTCAAAATGCTTGGGTTAAGAGCTTCTTAACTCACTGACGTAGATAAAAGAATATAAAATGACTAGCGTGTACCCGCAACTTCGTTCGCGTTGAATTAATCATTTGTAATGGTAATGGTAAAGCTGTAACGTTTTTAGTTCGTTACATGTCTTTTTTACATATGATATATGATGTCTGGCCTATCATCACCGGATTCCCTCTCGTTCAAGCCGGATAGCTTATTTGACGCGCAATTTTTACGTTCCCAGCTATAAGCCTACTCAGTAGCTACGGCTGTAAGGATTTATGGTATCGCTCTGTGGGAGCGCGCGCTGTCAACATCGCTTCTGTCAATTCTCTGTGATCTAACTTCACTTTTGGTTGGACCGTTCGGCCTCTTAGACGCCATTAGTCCCAGTGTTGAGAAATGGTGATTATTTAAATCTTGCTGTATAATCTGAATCAGCTGCCATTTCGAAGCAACAGGTAAAGATGAGTTATTTTCCTTTTAGATTCGATATTATTAGTGAATATTTTTAGGGTAGAGTTACGGATGTCCCAACTTGTATTTGTATTTGGCTGGCACGTTGGCGTCCCTTTGCTTTTGTCCTCCAGAATGTCATTTGGAAGAAAGGACAGCTTGTTTATTATTTATTGAGCCCTCGGGAGTATTTCGAGGTAGGTTTATTTTGCTTATTAGACCTTGTTTGATTTTAAACAAGAGTTTCGTGTTCTTAGGGTCTTACGAACGGACTATTTACAAGGTACGGGCACTATCCAAGGTCCTAGTATTCCCTTGTGCCACTGTCTTATGGACGGATGTCCCATGGACAAGTGTCCCCTGTAGGATTGATTTGTCTTCACATAGAGTGCCCCAGCGTGGGTGTGGCTTGAGCCCCGTGCTGCTTCACCCCCATTTCTAAGCCTGGATCGCCGACAGACAGTGCAGAGATGCAAGACCTCCTCGCGCTGCTACTGGTTGAAGCAGGGTTACATTAAAGAACAGCTAAGTGTAATTTTAAGTTCTAGTATTGCATTTAACACCTAAAATGTTTTCAGTCTTAAACAGTAACGTACATTTAAACTATAGCGTACAGACTATATTTAGTGGTTAGATTATTAAGAATATTTATGTCAATGCAGTAGTAAAAGTGTGATTTAGATTTTAGATTTCATAATATCACGCATTGTAATGGTATTACTTTCTATAGACATCATTATTACGCTATACTAATAGATGAATGACGAGATAGATTCTAGAATCTACAGGTTGCAACACATCTGATTGAACACCGTATAAATTTAACAATGTAAATAAAGTAATGCTACTTTTCTTATATTTTCTCTAATGTTACACGCATTGTATTTTCCTTATAGTCTTTACATAGAACATATTTAATATTAGTTACATATATAGTTTTATTCAACAGGTAACCACTATAATAATTATTAAAATTGTACAATGCTATTCACCATCAGAATTCGTCACGAATAAATATAGTCACTAGTTTTAAGTATTATACAATTGTGTTTTCTTTCTCTGTACATGCCTGGCGCCCAATATCTAGATATCTTTTGTTTATTATTATTGATTAATTTTCTCTCTAGTGAAATACCTTATCCACGACTGCTCTCCGATGAAAAGCTGCCGTTCGCAGTGGTAGTTGTTTAAAAAACGCTACAAAGCAAAGCAAGAATTTCTATTAAACATACAAACTGGAGCAGAATCGTGGTTAATCAATTGTCCAACTTTTTGGAACACCCTGTATGATTTTTTAAAGAATTTCAAAGGGGCGTTTTCACCCTCTTGGAATTTGAGATTCGAGAAACCCCTCCTTATCGAACCTCTACACCCCACAGTCAATCCGTCTGCCAAAAATCAGCTTTAAACGTCAAGCAGTTTAAGCAGAATCGTGATTACACAATGGTCATATTTTATGAAACACCCTGTATAATTTTTTTTTAAATCTTAAAATATGTAAAACAACAAAATAAAATATACGTGTTTAAGAGTTTTTCCGAAAAACTCACCAGTTTTTAAATAAAAAAAATATTCTAATATTTGAAGGGTGGTTTCACTCCCTTAGAATTCGAGTTTCGAAAAATCCCTTCTAAATAAAATATACGTGTTTATGCGTTTTTTCGGAAACTTGACCGTTTTTTAAATAAAAAATATTGTAATATTTGAGGGGCGGTTTCACCTCCTTGGAACTGGAACTTCAAAAAAACCCTTTTTATCGAACCTCTACACTCTAGAATCAACCTGTATGGCAAAATTGAGCTTCTTACGTTGAGTGGTTTGAGCAGGATCGTGATTAATCAGAGAGTCAGTCACTTAAGGATTTTATATTTTATTAGTATAGATACTTACATATACTCTCTATCTTAAAATCGAACCTCAGATCCGACACTTGCTTCTTGCTAACTTTAATTTTGCCCTGCGGCGTTATGATCCTAATTACGTTATCGTAACAGACTAGAATCGAATCTTTGTCGAGCTGCGTCACGTTCACTATGTTCAGGTTCTCCCGTTTCGGGATGATGGTGGCAGTGCCGTCCATGTCCTGCAGTTCGTCCGAATGAAACCAGCTGGCCCCTGCAAATACACAACATTGTAACGCCCTGTATACACGGTGTATGTTTTTGCTGCTTACCCGAATTCATATTAATTAAATCTAACTTAAATCTATTGGCTTGGTACGCCTGCTTGATAGACACGCACACCATAGGATACTCGAGTTCCGGAGTGATGATCATTTCGAAAACGTTAAGCGGATTCGGCAAAACCGAGTCCACATGCTGAAAAAGACATATTCAATGATAACTACAACATTCACTTACACTAAGTGGGTAAAAAACAGTCTGTATAATTCCCGCATCTAAAGAAGAACCATTTGCCGTCTAGCCGTACCGTGCAACTCTCCAACCTCCAACCCACAGGCGCATGCGTATTGGAACGTTCCGGCGCATGTGTATTGGAACGACAGAACAAAGTAATGCTTCAATAGCCTGCTTACGAAAGCAGCGTGTAGCTCCGTGGTTGAGGCAGCCGCTTCGGGAGCAACGGGTCGTTAGCGCCGGCAGAGGTAGTTTTTTTTTTCAGCTGTTTTTATTTATTTAGAGCTGTCGGTAACAGGCGATCAAAATACGCCGTAGGTGTATTTTGATCGTGTTGGTTAGTCTCTGGTAAAAGTTTTTTTTTATTATAGATTGCACGCGAAATACCCGATCGATTTTGTAGGACTGTTATAATATATTATTATAATTTGTACGTTTTTGAAATTTAGGTTAAATTATGGTACTATTACTTAAGAACTTACTCTCGAAAGTTACAAGTTTATAATAAAAGACAAGAGAATAACCCACGATTTAAATTTGGCGGGAACTGTAGACTGGAGTTGGAAATTGCACGGTACTGCTAGACGCAAGTAAGAACCCACCGCGTCATCAGTGACACGACTGTATTACGATTGCCTCTTGCTCGCGATTGGAGGTTCTGTTGAATCATGATAGTGAGTTGAAATACTGATATTATAGAGTAATAAAAAAAATTCAAATTAAAAGTCAAAATTAAAAATTAATTTGTTTCAGCCCAATCTAAATTTAATTTTCACATATGACGATGTCCGTCAGTAAAATTATAACCCCAAATCAAATGAAAATGGTAATGACTAAAAGCAAATTTTGACAGTGAGTGAAATTATAATCCCAAATAAAATTACAATGACAATTATTAAAAACAAAATGCAGTAATTTACAAAATGCCGTAAAGCGGCCCCTAAACGCTCAATATTATTGTGCAATAATATTATGCAGTATTTTAGAGCGGCGCACACAGACGGTCAATTTAATTGCGCAATATTATTGTGCAGTATAAGCGGCGCACACAGTGATAGAAAACACGAATCTAGAATTCCAAAAGTTCAATTTTTAATTGTAAGATAATAACGAATCAATCACCGTTTTATTTTTAGAAATATTCAGGAATCACAAAAAGTTGAAATTTGAATTTATATCTCCGTAAACAATTTTTTTACGGAGTTCCAAAAATGGTATATTTAATTAGCAGGCATGGAGACATTATTTGTCGTTATTTACGCGAACTGAAAAGAGCTGTCAGAAGTGTGTTGGGCAAATTGAGTTTACCAAAATTAAGATGGATATTTACGGAGGTAAGTATTTTACTTTTTTCATGATTTGTTTATTTTTAAAATAAAACTACTCACAGTAAACACCAACAGTAATCTGGAAAAAATTAAACATAATAATAATCAAATTTATATAAATTGGAGCAGAACTTTTTTGCGACTCGTTCCGACTCGGACCTTTTGTCACTGATGTCTTGTATAGTCATTCTTCTTTTCAAATATCCATAAACCTTTTGCGTATACCTGCGTTTGTACAGGGTATTCACAGTTAAATGGACCCCTCCATTAACTTTTTAATTTGACGTTTTATAAAAAAATGTCTCACATAAAAGTTTATTGGTTTTAAATGAAGTTTTCAGAGAATCTTTTTTCACATATACAGGGTGCTCCAAAAAGGGTGCGTTTTTTGTATCACTGTAAATAAGGGAAATATCTTCCCCCAACACATCGTTGACTCACCCTGTGCATTATAAATTTTACTTTAAATATCAAGAGTTATATTTAAACACAAAAAGAAGAAAATTAAATAATTTTCGTAAGAAATAAAATATATTTTCTTACTAAGAGACTTTTGGAATTCTAAATTCGTATTTTCTATCACTGTGCGGCGCAGACAGACCATCTTACATATTATTGAAGTCCTTGACAAGTTAGTGTAGTCGAATTTTGCTTTCATGCTGTAATAACGTTGCTGATTGGTTTTTTGCTATTTTTGTTTGGAAAAAACATGTTGATAGAGTCTGTTTGTGTGGTTATTGCATTAGCCGAGTGTCTGAAGAAAAAAGAAAAAAAGAAGCGCTTAAACTTAAAGCAATGCACGTTTAAAAATACTTTCACTGCACGGCATTTTAGATGCAACTAAACAAAATGTTGAAATATTGCACAATGTTGCCCACAGACGATACAATATAATTCATATTGCACAATAAATATCAAACCAGTTTTGATTCTTTCAATATATTGTACAATGTTTCAATATCATACACAGATGCTCAATATTATTGTACAATGCGTAATATTGCGCAATATTATTAAGCGTTTAGGGGCCGCTTAATGACGTCACTAATCTGTTTTATCTGCAGTGCGATTCCGTAAACATATTTCCTGTCTAGTGACCATCAATCATATAAAAATAGTATAGGCTAGACAGGAAATTTCTTGCTACGGAGCTTACAGAATCCCACTGCTGGTTGTCAAGTGAAAGTGAGTTCGACAACATATGACGTGACGTTGAATGATGGCTGAACAAACAATGTTAAATTTATATTGTATGTATACAAAAATTGCAGTACAATTATCTTCTATTATAGATGGTAATAACTTACCTTTAGCAGCATGAATTTGTTCAACGGATCGTACCACTGCATCAAATATATACCGGCCGACGTAGCTCCGCAAAGGTACTTGTACCCGTTGTACGGGTTCCTAGCTACGCAACACTTCAAGGTGCCCCTGGTATCCGGTACTCTGGTGGTGAGTGCAAACTTCCTAGGTACTAGTTTTTCTGGTATGCGGTTCATGTGCAAACTGAACCTGTGCGACTGTTTGCTTTGTAGGGCTAGAAGGTCGTGCCTGTAGAGCTGAGGCGATTTACCTGAAGGAAGACGTTAAGTATAGAGTGTAATGTAAAACAAAAATTGTTTTAAGTTAAGTCGATTCACACGATTCAATTTATCAAATTAAATTGACACCACAGCGCGACAGCCTGGCAAATGTGAAGTCTTTGTATTAGAGAATCGTAGGCCATTGATAAAGAGTTACCTGGAGGGTTCACGTCTATTAAGATTAGATGAGATAAAGATATAAAAAAATATCTTGAAAAACAACTAATCTAAGGCACTATACCGATTTGGTCATTTTAGAAGGGTGGTCTGGCTAGTAGGCAGCTTAATGGAAAATGAAATGTATTAAAAAGAGATAAAAATTGGGTTGATACATTTCTTCTATGCGGTATTGCCGGATTTTGCATTAAAAGTTAAAACCGCACAAGTAGGCGTTTATGGAAAATGTTGGAGCCTTATTTTTCACAATTAGTTACTCATTTTACTACAGACGTAATAGATTATATTTAGCTTAGTTATATTATCTTCATTTCAGTAGTATACATGAAAGTTTAAAAAAAAATAGTTTATTTTTTTTCTACACAAATTTTCCTACAAACGTAAAAACCGGCAACACTGAATGCCGCTTTTGATTTTGTCTCTCTGTCTTACACATTAAAATCCAGACTACACTTCTAAAATGACCAAATCGGTATACGAAGGTAAGTCAGTAACTACGGTAATCGCAAACATCGATTATAAAGTACAAAACAACGATTATAAAGTAACGATACTAAGTACCAAAGTAACGAGTAACTAAAGTAACTAAAGTAACGAGTCCTATTACCAAAAGTAACTAGTAGTTACAAGTCCATAACAGTAACTAAAATTTACATCACTACATTATACCACTTTTAAATTTATTCCTACGTTAATTTAGTACCACTTATGGTGTTGTAAGATGTACATCAATAAATAAATAAATAACCATAATAACGCTTAGAATAATCTTCATAATGGACTAGTTTTTGCCAATATGTAATAAGTAAAATAAGCTATAAAACAAATAAATCAATTAATTACTAAAATACTGATTATTAAATTAAAAATTAAACGTAAAAATCTTTAAAAATGATATAATGAATATATTGTTAAGATTCATCTCATAAATCTATCACAATCTGGCAGCGCTGTCGCCATAGCTTGTCACTCAAAGTTAATCATGTGCATCGGAAATTGTTTTGCGATTACCGTATGTACTTAAAAATAATACGGGGTTGATTCAAATATTATCTATATAATATTATATCATAACAGTATATGGTACTTACTTCCTGATAACGTCATTAAAACGTCCTTGATGACGTACATCCACACCGTCCTCCTATTATACAACTGATCTATACAAGTTTCGTGCAATTCGTTCAAATTTAAATTGTAAATTCCTTCTTCGGCTCCGATCAGGATGTGCTGGTCTCTGGTTTCCGGATGAATCCAGGAGGCAGTGCAGTAAATTCGAAGCGGGGAACCGTTAAACACCTACGGAGAGGAAGGAAAAGTTAAAAAAAGACAATAATATTCAACGACACCTTAAAATTTTGATGAATTTAAAAATCATAATTTTCTCTAGTGGGCCGATTTTGATGATTTTTTAAGCAATTTGTAGCTAAGTTATTTGACTTTTTAGTAACTCTTTCTAATTTAAAAATGAAAGTTCCCATCTGTGAATTATTCGAGGGAAAACAAAATGTTGATGTTTTGGTGGAAATTTGAAATACCCTGTGGAGTATGTTATTAAGCAAGGAATTTATCATTATCTCATCTAGGCACGGCTTTTCCCGATAGTTTGTTTTTTGATTCATCCCAATAGCTTTATTTTTATTGGAGATATTCGCTTTTGATTAAGACAGTAAGGATTTACAGCAATTTGAGCATTGAAAGCTGCCTTTGCCTTTGCTTTTGGGTTCTTATCGACACACTTATAAAATAGTTTTTAGTGTTTCTGTAATGTCACTGTAATTGAAAAGTTATATTATTGTTTATTGGCTCTAGGAGATATAAAGCTTACGTTTCAATTAGTAGACAAATTAGCAAATTTTAATGTTTTCCACTAATCAGACCGCTGTTGCGGATGTCCGAGTTATGTCATTTTGGCATTTGATTACCACTGTCAAGAGAAATTGAGGTTAGAAATATAAAAGTTGAAAGTAGAAGTTTTATAAGCTAACTAGCGTGTACCCGCGACTTCGTTCGCGTCGAATTAATCATTTGTAATGGTGATGATAAAGCAAAGCAAGAATTCCCATCAACATAAAAACAGGATAACATTTTCTCACATTTATGTTGGTAAAAACAATATGGTGATATTATTATATAACTTAGTAATATTTAAGGGGTAGTTTCATCTCGTTGGAATTTGACTTTCGGAAAATCCGTTTGTCAAAAATAAGCTTTTTATGCCAAGCAGTTTAAGCAGAATCGTGGTTAATCAATTATCCAATTTTTTGGAACACCCTGTATGATTTGAGGGGCGTTTTCAACCTCTTGGAAGATTCGAGAAACCCCTCCTTATCGAACCTCTACACCCCACAGTGAATCCGTTTGCCAAAAATCAGCTTTAAACGTCAAGCAGTTTAAGCAGAATCGTTATTACTCAATGGCCATATTTTATGAAACACCCTGTATAAATTTTTAAAAAATCTTAAAATATGTAAAACAACAAAATAAAATATACGCGTTTAAGAGTTTTTCCGAAAAACTCACCGGTTTTTAAATAAAAAATATTCTAATATTTGAAGGGTGGTTTCACCCCCTTAGAATACGAGTTTCGAAAAATCCCTTCTTATCGAACCTCTACACCCTAAAGTCAATCCGTTTTCCAAAAATCAGCTTTTTACGTCGAGCGCTTTAAGCAGGATCGTGATTAACCAGATTGAATGATCATGATCGAAACACCCTGTATACATTTTTAAAAAATATTAAAATATGTAAAAAAACAAAATAAAATATACGTGTTTAAGTTTTTTTTCGGAAACTTGACCGTTTTTTAAATAAAATAGATATATATATATATATATATATATATATATATATATATATATATATATATATATATATATATATATATATATATATATATATATATATATATATATATATATATATATATATATATATATATATATATATATATATATATATATATATATATATATATATATATATATATATATAATATAGATAAAATAATTAGTATAGATTATTTGCTTTCTGTATTATAGATGAAGGTCTATAATGACAAAAAGAAATGTGATTTAAAATTTCATGTAGCTTTCTTACCTTAGAGAAACATGCTCCCATATGAACCTTCGGTGTAGGCGGCAGCCCATTACTAGGCGGCCTAGGCGGCGTGTGCCTTCTCCTGTGCTTCCTAGGCGGCACCGGCGGACAAGCCACCAGGTCAGGAGCACCGCTAGCCTCGTGATTGTTCGCGTTCTGTTTCGATTCGCCGGCCGCATTATTCGCCCCGCCCCCGCCGCTACGCTCCGCCCTCGAGCTGTCGCTAAGCGACCTCTGCCGCTGGCCGTTCATGTTCATCGAGCTGACCAGGCCGAAAATCTCGTCCACGGAAGAGTGACGTCGCGGCGAGCCGTTGAGGGCGAGGTCGTCGCAGGGGAGGATGTCGTCGCACTTGGCCTCGGTGTCCTGGACAGGCAGCGTGGCTCTGGAAAGGGGACAAACAAGCCCTAAGGAGCGCTCTACTGCTTTTGCTTTGTATCTATTTTTTTTTGAGGTTGCATGCAGTAAAATTGGTAAAAGGTAATTGGCGAAAGCCATCGCTTGCCTTTAGGTCTTCGTGCGTGGAAGAGAACTATTTCACGTACAGTGTGTGTAGAAGATTGATTATTAAAAATACTGTATGATAGTAAAAAAAATACCATCACAGTAATATTTGAACTGAGAATCATCCTAACCAAATTTTTTTTTTGGATGTCAGACATATACGGTAATGGCAAAACATTTTCCGATGCACGTCATTAATCATATCGATATTGACATTAAAGTCTATAAACCTGACTATATGAAATTTTGGCAAAAATGTTTAAATTTGTTGTATAATTTAAGATACCGAGCAGCTCTTCATTTTACTTTATAGAGCAAATGATTCTAACATATATTTTATTTAAATTCAAGCTGCACAAATTAGTTTAAACCGAATTTTATTATCGCTATGTTGGTCACATTGCGCCGTGTTCAGCAACGTTGTCGTTTATTATTTGACAATTATCCTAATGTTAGTCATTATTTTGTATAATATCGTGTTGTTGAATTTCTGTGAGTAATTCTCGTTTTTTTTTGTCTATTAGTCTTTTTGTACTTTTAAGCACAAACAGTTCTTTTAAGTATTTGTATTGCATTTCTTGAAATTGTGTGTTGAAAATATGCCGAAGTATTTAAACAATCGAAGCAAAGAGCTTGTAGCTTCCCTGATAAACTATTTTGAACGAGAACGTGACAATAAAGGTCCTTTATTAGCCTTGACTGGAGTCAGAGAAGTAAGTTTGACATTATACCACTTTCAAAGTTATTTCTACGTTATTTTTTTATTTAATTCTGTGATTATTAGCTTTTGCATTAATAGCACCTTCTTACTTGTTATTACCACTTATGGCGTTGTAAAATGTACATAAATAAATAAATAAATAATCCGTTATAACGCTTAGAATAATCTTCATAATGGACTACTCTTTGCCAATATGTAATGAGTAAAATAAACTCCAAACCAAGTATAAGACAAATCAATTAATTATTAAAATATTAGTTATTAGATTAAAAATAAAATGTAAACATCTTTAAAAACTGATATAATAAATATACCGTTTGTCAATTTTAAATTAAGATTCGTCTCATAAATCCGTCACAATCTGGCAGCGCTGTCGCCATCACTTCCCACTCAAAGTTGATCACGTGCATCGGAAATTGTTTTGCGATTACCGAAGGTGTTTGACAAGCTTGTATGTATTATTTTTAGTAAAGGACATATACAAGGTGAGTATTAAATAAGTCAATATATTTTTAGGGGTAGCATAATTCCACCCCAGCAACACGATTATGATTTTTTTTCGCAAAAAAATTTTGGAAGTTTTTTTACTTTTTAGGCAAAAACCACAATTTCTTTATAATATGGCAACATAGGGAGTATATTAAATTTACAAGAAAGAAAACCCAAAAAAGATCCAGTGGTTCTCAAAATTTTAAAAATCATTTTTTTGGAAATTTTCAAAGTAAAACAACTCGGTTATTTTTGACTTAAAGTACGTCTGCTGGATCTGTGTCTATGAAAGGAATGCGGACAAAAAACATTTAAATAAACAGCAATATATTTTATACGTCGACTTGACGACTACGTCACCGCAAATCGCTCCGCCCACTCATTTTATTGGCTACTTGCAAAAAAAATTGCTACTAAAAATTTGTCGAATTTTTATTGATGGGACGCGTCGTCTAATTTTTTACGAAAAACGTCGAGAGAATATCGTTTCCCCTCTCACGGATACCCCGTAGCTACAGAACCGACAGACGCACAGTGGAACGAGTATATGGAAGCGGTTGGACATGAGGTTTTTTATTTGATACTTTCAATCTGGAAAACTTAAAATTAATTATATATACTGGAATATTATGGAAAGAGGGACGAATTATAACAAAAAATTGGCGCCGGGAGGCACGTATAGCCGCCCATACTAAAATATGTTAATATCTCAAAAACTGCGAATTTGACTGATTTTGATGTTATTACAAACTAGGTTTTTCCCGCGACTACGTTCGCGTTACACCTCGGGTAGTTCATGCATTGATTTAAATGATTTACTTTGTATATAGAGCTAGTGAACCTTACAAATGCCCTATTTAAACTATGTTTTTAAGAGTTTTAGAGCTACTCGTATTTCATATGAAAGTTATCAATTGTCGATTTTCTGGGTATTATACAGGGCAAGTCTTGAAAAAGTGTAAATATTTTCAGGGCTGGTAGATCTCGATAAAAAAACATATTTTCTCTTTACCGTTTTTCAAATAACTCCAAAATAACTGAGTTATTTTACTTTAAAAATTTCCAAAAAAAAATATTTTTGGCTTAAATTTTGAGAACCACTGCAGCTTTTCGGGATTTTCTGTCTTGTAAATTTAATCTACTACCTATCTATGTTGCCATATTATCAAGAAATTATGGTTTTTAACTAAAAACTAAAAAAAATCCAAAAGGTTTTTCAAAAAATTCCAAATTTTAAAAAAAAAATTTCGCGCAAAAACTCATAATCGTGTTTCTGGGGTCAAATATACCTACTACCGCTAAGAATAATTGCACTTATTTAAGACTCGCTCGACAAAAATCGATATTGTTATTTTTGACTTATTACATATTTTTTTACTTAAAATTTATAAAAAGCCGTCAATATTCCAATTTCAAGAGCATTTTTATTCTCTTTAAATATTATTATGTACTTAAGAAAATTCGAAAATTTAAAAACCGTTTTTTATTTTTTTATCGCCTGTATATGACTTTATGACACACTTGTATACCAAAAATAAAACTTTTGATTAGAGCCGTCTGAAATAAAAAATCTTAATAATTCTACAAGTTATCGAAATCAAAGTATTTCAAAGAAGTTCAATTTTGGCCACAAAATGTTTTTGAATTCTTGCTTTTTTTAACACTATTTCTCAATTTTTTCTAACTACTTCCATTGACTGAAACTAATTATGTATGGTTGGATAGAGGGTGGATGGCGATCTTCCAGGGCGGTTTTTTATTTCTTATTTATATATAGATTATTTTCGAAATCGAACCAAAGTCAGTTTCAAAGAAATTTTGCAAAATTAAAAAAAAATCTCTCCAAAATAATAAATAGTGAAATTATTATTTACCCTTTATAGATAGAACCCCTACCTATGGTCCCATATAAACTGTATTACTAAAATAAATAGTTTTGAAATATGAAGTTTTCAAATGAATATTTGAAATTTTCAATTGTCGCTTTACGTAATATACTCCCTTGATATTTTTTTTATTTTTCATCTATTTTTTTTTGTTTATTAAGAGCACTAATTCCCTATTTATAGTTATTTTTTATTCCTTGAAGGATAATTGAAAAAGAAATATTTCGTTTATATTATTGATGTGTCACTAAATAAACCCTTGTATAAAATTTTATACTGCTAGATGTTATAGTAATGCATTTTCGTACAGCAAACTTTCATTCCCTATTCTACTCCCTAAGATTATAAATTTCATAAAATCGCTTTATCCAAATAATTAACTCATGTCGTTTAAATGATCCTGTGTGCCAATTTTTATGTGTATAATCCAGAGGTCACCAAGTTTTATATAAATTTTTACTAACTTTACTCATTTGGTTGATGAATTTCAAAAATCTCTTCTAATTCTTTTTGTAGGATTTCATTCTTCTAGACCACATAGTAAGGAATTTTCATACAACAAATTGTTCCGACATAATTTTACTCTCTAAGAGGATGAATTTCCTAAAATCGCTTTGTGTAGCTAATTCACTAATGTGGTTTAAACGAACCTTTGTTCTAATATTTATGTATCTAAAGCTGGCTGTATGAACTGATCCCTAAAATATCTAAAAACTTGATATATGACTGACAAACTGACAAACCACTGACAATTACAAATAATTTATTTCTGGAGGTATTGTGTGTAGGTGTTTTTCAGGTATGTTTTAATATTTAGTCGATTTACACAAAGAAATAGCAATTCAACAATTTAAAAATACTTTATAACAAATCTAGACATATATACCTTTCATTTAAAAAAAGAATCATCAAGATTGGTAAAGCAGTTTCGGCGGGATGGATGTAACAAAAAACCCTTTAGGCTTTTATATATGTATGGATTTTGTTGCAAATATTATTCCTAATCTTAATTTGAAAACCGCGTTTCGTTAGCTACTGTAGTTTTGGAGTTACGATTTTTTAAAATTTTTAACCCCCTCCCATACCACCTTACCAACCCCCCACCCCCACCAAAAACTAATGGCCAGATTCTCGGGTGCCACAGTATTTTTGTGCCAAATTTGGTTAAAATCGGTTCAGCGGTTTTTGAGTTATCGTGTTACAGACGGACAGACAGACACCATGAAAATATTTTGTATTTAGGTCATTTATGACCCAAGTAACTCATTTTGAGTGAAATTAAAAAAACTTTTTTTTTCCGATCCTAATAGCCTACCATACCTATTGGTATGGTCGCATGGTCAGTAGGGGGAGGGGGGGTACAATGTGATTTGGATATATTCTACTAATATACGATTTATACATAAATGTTAAGAAGGATAGTATCTAATAATAATATCGGAATAACAATATATTTTTAATATTAAGCCCCCTGGAAATAGTATCCATCGTGTAGTTCAAAATTTGTTTTTTCAAAAAACGGCAAATTGGAGCAACTTTTTTATATATGTTTATAGTAAGGGTATTGTGGTCTACTATATGCCGCTATTCTTTATATGGTACCTTGCGGCACTTACTTCATATTTCTTGATGATTAGATCTTTAATAAAAATTCAAAACTTTTTAATTCAAAAATATATGGTGGGTGATTGATGAGATGTATGTACAAAATTTTGCCAAAAATTCATTAACAAAGAACCAGTTAAATTAAAAAAAATAATATTTTTTAAAAAACCTACTAATTTAATTATAATTAATATTTTCAACATGAATTAGCCTTTTTGAAAATGGTTAATTTTAAACCTTTGTAAAAACGACAAAATACATTTTTGTTTTCTAAAAATCAGTTTTTAAGAGAGGCCTGACATTTGTTTTTGAAACTACCATATTCAGTTTTCAATTTTCCCAAAAACATTTTTAGCCCCATGTCCAACATTTAACATGGACTCGTTCCATTGTGAGACGTACTGTACATATTTGAAAAACGGTAAAGAGAAAATATGTTTCTTTTATCGAAATCTACCAGCCCTGAAAATATTAACTTATTTAGATTCACCTTGTATGAGCGGTACCAAATAAACTTTTCGTTACGACATCGAGGGCGCGATTATTAAATGCATTGTTGCCAACCGTGGACATATTCGGCACCGGGCTGACTAACTAAAATTTAAATTTCCCTCTAGTGATTTGGGTGTAGCTCTGTTGAAAAAAATGTCAAGTCGCCACATTTATTTATTTATTTCCCGACATTTTGATTCGTTTTGACACTTTAGTTTTGAATTACGAGTTTTTAGTTTAAGTGAATTGTGTTGTGATACTTTAAGCTTAAAATATTTTCGGAGCAGACCTTGCAGTCGAAAATTGTTCTTTTTAGAACCGCTTTTAGTGTGAAGTGTACAAGATGCGGAAGCAGTTTAGCAGCCGTTGCAAAAAAGTCATCACGAGAAGACCTTATGAGAATATTCTGAAAGGACTTATGAGACTATTCTGGCACTTTGTGGTTAAGGAGTGGTAGTAAGGAGTTGAGTTTTGTTGATGTAAATAATAACTGTATAACGCTGTGCAGGTCAAGGTTAATCAAGTGACTAAAAGTATTTTTGATATGATTATGTCCACAGCTGATGCATAATCCGGTGTACCACAAGAAAACTATTACCTGATTCAATAAATTTATCTAGAAAAAAAAGTAAAATAGAGTTTTTAAAAATTCTGCCAATAAACCCCTTAGTGGAGTGCCCAGAGACTTTTACCTCGGAATTTAATTACTGTGAACCTATTAATGTGAAACCTTCTGTATTGTATTTTATAGATAAAATACTAAAATGTTTACCCATTTTTTTTCGCTGCTTTTAATTTTTTATTTTAGTAATTTTAGTAAATGCTTAGTTATTTCCTTCATATTTATTTATTTTTTTATCTAAGTAAATTTATTGAAATAAATAAATCTAATGCATAAGCTACAGCTATTCTGCTTATATTTTAATCATTGAAATTTTAATTGAAATCGAATTATACAGGGTGGCACGACATATACAACGCGGTTTTTGCAAGAAGAACAAATGTTTGTATTGAAGTGAAATTTTGTGAGCTTATGTAAGTCAATTTAAAACATTTTCTAGAATTATATAGGATTCTACAGGGTGTCCCCAAAAAAAGTTACACATCAAAGGTGTGTTTTTTGTAACGGAACACCCTATATATTAATTTATTTTCGGATTTTAATAAAAAAATAAAGGCGAGTTTCATTAGAAAAGTATATGACTAAAATGTATACCTAATTTTTGAAATACATTCACCGGCATGAAAAATGGGCACCCTAAAATTTTGATGTATGTTAAAGTTTAATATACCGTATGATCGAATAAAAACGGCGTCCAGTTGGCTTGGAAATGACGATCGATGACATTTCCCATATAAAGTTACATATGAAATCACAGCGATCTTCATTTCATAGCCATCGCTGACACCGTTTTTATTCGATCATACGGTATTTTGTTCTAGTGGGCCGATTTTGATGATTTTTTTAAGCAGTATGTAGCCAAATTATTTGACTTTTTAGTATCTCTTTCTAAATTAAAAATGAAACTCCCCATCTGTTAATTATACGAGGGAAAACAAAATATTATTATTTTGGTGAAAGTTTGAAACACCCTGTGGAATATGTTAAAACAGCAAGAAATTTAAAAATCATTTTGTCATCTAGATACATCCTTTTTCGATAGTTTGTTTTTTGGTTCGTCTCATTGGCTATATTTTATTGGAGATATTCGCTTTTGAAGAAGACACTAACATTTTTTCGTAATTTTTACATTAAGACCATGCCTTTGCTTTTGGGCTTAGCCAACAGATTCAGTAAATTCTGGTCCCGAAGCAGGCCTTCTTGACATAAGATTTGCTTCATTTAGTCTTCTTCTTATAGTCCGTTAGTTAATATGTACGTTCCTTAGGTGCAATTCATTATAAATTTGAAAAGCTGGCAAACGGCGCCGGCTTAGCGATAAACTTACAATAAGTCGATCGTCTCGATTAGAAGTTCTCATACGAAAGTTCCTGGACGTCTAGAATGACGTTCTCAGTATAATCTATGGTATTAAGGTATTTTTGAACACGGAATTTTATAGCAAATTCACTGAACTAAACAAATATAAAGCATTTCATTTGAAAAACTAAAACTTAAGTATAAAAATATATTTAACTCACCCTGTATATCTATAAAAATATTTTTGAAATGTGAACTACCACTAAACACATATTTTGTAAAAGGTTTGGAGAAAAAATCTCAAATAGGAATCCTGATACAGAGCTTTTTCGGAACACGCAGCCATCTTGTATGTATGCATCTGTATATGTGTGTTTATTTAAATACTAAAGTGAAAGCAACGAATTTAAATGGGTAAACTCTGTAATATATCTTATTAACAATTCAATGCAAAAAGTTTTATAAAAATTCGTTCACAGTAAATGAATTCCGAGGTTTGTATCCCATAAGGGCTTAAAGCACTTCACTATATATTTTTAACCATTTCTTTCATTAAATGTCAAAATATTGACAGATCTCTCCAACACACACTGTACGAATTTATTTTTTTCCTAGCATAATCACTTACTGTTGCTCGTAGTCCAAATGTCCGTACTTGAACGTGCCCCTGGAACGACGCCAAAAAAAAGAAAAGAAAAATCACTCAGTTAATACAGCTACAAACTCTGTTACGAAAAATGGAGAAAAGCAGCCTAAAGCCAGTGAAAAAAAAAGCGTTAGAAAGGAAAAAGAAAATGGGTGCACCAAGGAGAAAAAAATGTAAAAACAAATCAAAACAAGCTTCTAAGTGTTGAGTGTTAGTAAAAGCACTGTTTTCTGTTTTCTCGTCTATTATAAGAAGAGAATTACCTCATCATTAGTTCTTCGTCTATGTACTGCAAGAGACTCCTAAATAACACAATTAAAAAGAATTTAAATAAAAAATTAGACTAATAACGAAACAAAAAATGGATTAAATAAATTAATAAAAAAAAATAACAACAGTGCTGTTAGAAAAAATAAAAAAACACTACAAGTTAAAAATTAATCATGGCAATGATCTTAGACTAAAAAACGTCTACTACTAAGTGTAGAGAACTATTATACAGGGTGACTCACTAAGAGATTATTAGAAAATAACATTTTGAATAGAATGACGTATCATATGTCAACTTTTGACATTTTCCCTTAAACAAAATAATATTTTAAATTTCAAACTAGAGTGCCAAATAAAAATTCATTTGATAGTCTAATGTGATTCGTGCCCCAATCGTAATCATAAGTCAATTTTCTCAAATGGAACGAGTGTGGCTCATTAGAATATTTGGCAAAAGCATTTTTTAAGGAATAATTTGGTACCATATACTTGGTATTTCGAGCCAAATTGTCGTTATGAACACAGCCATTGCACTCTAGATTGAAATTTAAAATATTATTTTGTTCAAGCGCAAATGTCAAAAGTTAACGTTGACATCAGTGGCGGCTCGTCAGGTGCAGTAGGTGAAGGGACACTTCACCGAAAAAATACTCAAATTAAAGAAAAAAACTTTACTGCTTAAAATATTAATTTAAAGTCAAATTTATTTTGGTTAATATTGCTTAGTAAACATTAATGTAATAATTGAATAATAATTGAATGGCTCCTCGGTTGTAACCAACAATTTTTTCAATATCGAAATTTTAGTGAAAAAACCGAGGAAAAAATGCTATACCTATGAAAATTACAACCTTATTTCACTGAAATCTCTATTTTGAAAAAAATATCGGTTAGAACGTTTTTCGGGGAAGCCATTCAATAATTACAGTGTTCGCCATAAAGTTGGATCCATATGGACGGTTTTTTTGGTATTAGAGTTTAAAAAAACTTTTTGTGGCTATCAATTCTGCTTTAAAAACAACTTAAAATGCACCAAGTCAAAGTTGAAACATAATTTTGTTAGTCACTTTTTTTAAAATAATAATAATTTAACCAATTTTTAAAAATTTCTTTTAAATATTTTGTATTTGACAACTCCCAGATGTTAGCTGTCAATTTTGGCTTGGTGCATTTTAAGTTGTTTTCAAAGCAGAAGTGATTACCATAAAAAGATTTTTTAAAACTCTAATATAAAAAAAAACGTCCATATGGATCCAACTTTATGGTGGACACTGTATATAATGTTTATTATATTTAATTTAAATTTAATTATATTTTTTGACTGGAATGCAAAATAATGTGTTTATCGAAAACTGGTTGTATCTCTTTTTACTTAATGCGTTTTAGCCCAAATTGAAACGAAAATATTATAGGTATTAGCACAGAATATCTAGCTACGCAACAGAAGCCTCGTTACATGTATAAAATTGTAGGTAGCAAAAGGAGACAGGCTTTTAAAGCCTGTCTCCAAATCAGTTATTTTGATGCGGTAGTTTCGCTACTACATAATAGAGGGCAATAAATTTAAAAGAAAACAGTTTTCTACAAACAAAATTTAAAGGAATTTTGTGCTGTGTTGCCATTGTGTAATTCATATCTTAATACTTCCTGATAAAGCCTACCCCTATTAAAATAGATCAGAGCTGTTTTTTTCAATTTGCCATGTTAGTTGGAATTAAATCATATGAGCTAAATTACAATCAATTCTTGACGTTTGATTGTATAATTGAATCCTGAATTTTCATTGTAATTCGGCGACAATATAATAAGTATTGTTCTACTATTATGATACCACTTCCTGACGTTCGATTGTGTTCATACCAAGTTCATATCGTATAATTGGGAAAAAACGGCGTTAGCGATGGCTATGAAATGAATATCGCTGTCATTTTATATATAAATTTATATGGGAAATTTATATGGGAAACATCGATCGTCCTTTTCCAGCATATTATATACTATATCTTCAGTGACATTGTAATATCATGGTACCATGGAGCATATAAAGTGGTACTTTCTACAGTACCATATTTGATGACATAGCAATATTAGGTACATGGCAGCAATAGGGCTTAAACTTGGTATACTACGTATTTTCGGTGACATTGTAATATGATGGTACTATGATGCATATAAAGTGGTACCTTAAAATAGTACCATATTTCAATACCATTTCCTGACGTTCGATTGAGCTCATATTTGATATATACTTGCGTATTTTTGATGATATTGCATTATTATAGGTACCATGAAGCATATCAACTGGTACTATAATATAGTACCATATTATGTACATGGCGTTCGATTGGGCTTAAATTTGGGATACTACTTATCTTCGGTGATATTGTAATATTATGGTACCATGGAGCATAATAAGAGGTACCATATTACGATACCATTTCCTGGCATTCGATTGGGCTTAAACTTGGTATACTACGTATCTTTGGTTATATTGTAATATGATGGTACTATGATGCATATAAAGTGGTACCTTAATATAGTACCATATTTCAATACCATTTCCTGGCGTTCGATTGAGCTCATATTTGATATATACTTGCGTATTTTTGATGACATTGCATTATTATGGTACCATGAAGCATATCAACTGGTACCATAATATAGTACTATATTACGTACATGGCGTTCGATTGGGCTTAAGCTTGGGATACTACGTATTTGCGGTGACATTGTCATATGATTGTACTATGATGTATATAAAGTGGTACCGTAATATAGTACGATATTACGATACCATTTCATGGCGTTCGACTGATCTTAAATTTGGTATACTACGGATCTTCGGTGACATTGCAATATTATGGTACCTTAAAGCATATCAAGTGGTACCATAATATAGTACACTTTTATGATATCATTTCCTGGAGTTCGATTGGGCCCAAATTTGGAATACTTGCGTTTCTTTATAAAGATTTATTTAATTAATAATTTTAATTTATTTTACGAATTTTAATTTATTGTTCAATGTCATGACAGCAACTTTTATGCCGAACTAATATATTATTAATTGTACCTGTGTCACTTTTTAAAATCTACCTAGGTCTATATAAATAACGTGGCAAACGGAATAAATTTGTTATTATAGTATTTTTTAGTCAGTTAACATTTTTTCTACTGCATTTTAATAAATTATTTCCATTATTATTAAACTTATATTTCATTACTAACGTTCCAGCATTAATAAATATCACTATCAATCGCCCTGTATATTATTAATTTTAAAGGTAATTAAAGGTATTTTCTTAGTTAACATTATAAGGGAGTGTATATTAAAAATGTATATGTTTTGTAATAATATACTTAAAACTATTTTAATAGCCGAAGGAATAATTAATATAAGTGTATCTGACAAGAAAAGAAGAAGAATAGAAAGAAACACATACTGCACTATACACAGTAAAAAGAATGGGATGCCAATTCAAGTCTTTTGAATCTGGCAACTGTGCATATTTAGCCGAGCTACAAGGCAGTCGACGAGCCGTCGATCCAAAACCGAAAGTTCAAAATTTATAATTATATTCTGATTATGATATTGTCGCGCCATCTAGTATTCTATTTGTGCAATTTTAGCTCTTACATTTCGAGTATTTTTCTGTTGCGTAGCTAGATATTCTGTGGTATTAGTGTATAAATAATAACAAAAAAAAATGTTGACAAAATGACGAATGCAGCAAAAAATTTTCAAATAATATTTTAATATCAATTAAATTTTCATAAACTCTTAATTTAATTATTTGTCCACGAGCTGCCACTGATTGACATATAATATGTCATTCTATACAGAAGGGCATTTTCTATCAAATAGAGAAAAAAAATACCGAGTAAATATACCATTTAAAAATGAAAAGTTGTAGTTATTTCCGGTGAAACAGGAAGTGGCCGAAAATAATTGAATACGTCAATCAATCCTAATTTATGCCATAATGTATATAAACATCCCATATCTAATTTTTTTACCGAAAAAATAAAAAAGTTATGGGGGTGAACCATTTTTGATATACATTAAATCTAGATTTGCCTCAGCTACTTATTTCACATATAACACCCTGTATTTTATATCCTAAATAAACAGTTTATATATGTTATTTTGTAGTTATCACCTACATGATCGTTTTTTAGTCTCAGATAACACTAATCAAGTTAAAATGCAAATAACATGACCTGTTTCAGTTTAAATGATTCTAAACCGTTTTATTATTATTATGAGAGGTCAAATGTTAAATCAAGCTGAGAAATGAGCGCAACGAAAAACGGTATATCGATGAAATGGAAATAAAAACACACTGCAAACGTGAACAAAGGGAGAAAACGTGTCACTTAACCTCAAAGACATTCTCAAAATTTGCGAGCCGGTTAAGGATTTTCGTTCAGAACTACGACAGAAAAAGATAAACACACAATTTTATTAGATCTAGTTAAAAAATCAGTACCTTAAATAAAATAAAATTGAATTAACGATTAAGGACATCTGACTAAAACGATTAACGTCGTGTAATTTTTTGTTTTATTTGGAAATGCGATAATATATGCTCACTCAGAGTAACAAAAAATATATTTCAATATGTTTAGTGTGTTTATGTTCTCAAGAGAACTGTTCATAGAGAAATCAACAGAAGTTGGCGTGCGTGTCATCAAAGACGTCGAAACTATTACCACAGATTATACAGATTATAAACTTATCGTCAAAAGTATTGTTTTTCGTGGTTCCAATTTTCGGAGTCGCGCACTAGTTAGGTTACTAGTTTGCGCACATAGCACGCCCACTTATGGCCTCTAAAATTGTAAACAGCGCCTGACCGGCTCAGTTATTACGCCGTTTAAAGGCGAGTTTATTTTTGCTCACAGGAAATTTTACTCGTTTGCTCATCGTCATAAAAAACAATTTTCGTACTACGAATTAGGGACAAGATTTTTATCTGTATACATATAGTATAAAATGTAAAGATTTCAGTTAACGTCTCCTTTTTTCTGCCAGGGCTAATCTTGACGGAGCCTACTTTGTTTACGCGGAATCCGAACCGCGGTCCTCGGCCATATCATGGACGGTAGCCTACCGACTTAGGAAGTGTCTAAATTAAGTCTTACTCACGAGATATCCGATCTCATCCGGCCTCGAACCGGCGTGAATTAGCAGTGTGTATCAATAGATTTTACACTTTTCCCTTGGACAACAGCACGATACAGAGTTTCGAACCGGTCAACCTTCCATCCACCAGTATCGCCTTACGTCGCTTAACTTCGGTGTTCTAATGGGAACCGGTGTTTCAACGTAGCTAGGCAGTTGCCCCATATAGTATACCTAATCTGTGCTATTACCAAATTAAATTTTTAACAAATAAAGATTCGTTTGAAACTCAGAGCGCACATTTTCCTTTTTCCTATAATCTTATATCCTGATTAAAAAAAAAACGCTGTCACATTAAGTAAACGAATTGGCCGATCAAAAAGGCTTTATGTTGTTAGTTAATGCAAATGTTACCGGTTGTCATGAGATTTTTCTTTGCAAATCTGATATTTTTCATTTTCGATATTACTATTTTTTTTCTAGTTTTACCTATGTCATTTTTAATTTTATTTTGAATTTTCTTTGACAAATTTGAAATTAAATCTGCGTTTTGTTTAGTTAAAACTGCGATTATCATTTTGATAAAATGCAAAAACCAATAAATACTCAGAAACGATAACTTGTCTCGTCTCTGCTCAATTATTTTGAACAGGAAAGAGATCATGATAAGTCTTATTTGCGGCTAGACTACGTTAGAGAGGTAAAAATTAATAATGTTGCTTAAGTTTTGCAACTTTTATTGAAAATACATAGATTTTTTAGCTTGTTCCAGCTGTGTTCAATATGAGTTTACAAACTGTGAGTATAATTTCACAAAAAACGAAGACTAATGTTAACCAATTAGAAATGTATATTTTTCAGAAAACTAACTTCATTCAGAAAACTAGCTTCATTTCATTAGAATTTGTTTGTGTAATAATCAAAGGCAAAGTAATAATGTAGATATAAAAAAAATTATGTGTATTGTGACTATGGAGTGTAGAGGTAAGGAGAAATATCTTCGTGCATTAAAAAATGGTCATAAAAAAGGGAAGACTTAAGATGGCGCTGCTGTAGCAAAAACCTAACACTTAAAATGTGCGCCGAAAATTTTTAGAACAGGAAATGATTCAAAAGAGATAAATATTTGACGTGAAGGCGCGGATTTCAAAAAAATACAAATTTTATTTTCATGTCACATGAAGTAAATTACCGATTTTTATTCAGCAGCAATATACTGTGCCTCTGATATATAAAAATAATTAATTCGAATTATCAGATCCATTTTATCACATACCAAACCAATGAATACAGAACAACAAACAAATAATGTAATATATCAAATACCATGTAAATGCGATAAATTTTACATTGGTGAAACATCTAGACCCTTAAATGTTAGAATTAAAGAACATAAAGATTATTTAAGAAAGGGGGATTTTCACAAATCTAAGATTTGTCAGCAATTATGGGACACAGGGCACAGAGTAGATTTTGATAACGCCAAAATTATAATGAAAGAAGCGATAGCCTTTAAAAGAAAAATAAAAGAGGCTTTTTTAACACAATCTAATAAAAATGAATGTATTGCTCGTGCATCTGTAGATGTTAGTAATGTATGGCAATCGCTTCTTTGATTTTAAGCAACATAACATAATATGTTTATTTATGTAGTAGTAAGTAAAATTTAAAAATAATCATACAGAAAGTTTGGGGCTTTTTGGTTTTACCTTATTAAGTAATTGTTATCAGGTAGTAATTGTTAATTTTGAAGTTTAACTTGGATATAATGTCATTTTAACAGATCGTCAACGGTTTCCTGTAGACGTATCTGCTTTAAAAAAACTAAAGTGTTCTCTTAATAGTTTGAATTTAAATATTTTAAATAGTTTTTTTCTTTATTCTTTGTATTTTTTTGCTTCCGACGACGGAAAGAGATAGACTTTCCGAAACGTTAAGCATTTTTTTCTTTGTTAGGCAAATTTGTATAACTGTAAACATAACTTCTGACAAGCAGTGTCCGTTTAGGTTTAATGCAGAAGTGTTTACAAAAAATAAGTATTTTATTTTCTAGATTTTCTTGCAGTGCAGTGGCGAAATACCCATAAAGGATTTTTTTGGAGATGAATCCGCCACATAGGTATAGACATTTTTTATAAAAATAATTGTTTTGTATTCTAAAAAATAAAAACAAAGCTTTCTTTGAGCAATATGTTTTTTTCTTTTATTCTCTTATCTATAGATACTTTTCATTTTTTAGATTTATGCGTCATTAGCGGAACTGTGGTCATTTGGTGAACCCTTATTCTTCACATTTTTTTGACCACATTTTCAAATAAAGTCCCAAAAGAGATATTTCTCCTCATCTCTACACTCCATAATTGTGACTAAAATTGAAGTAAAAAATGGCTAACGAATATTACGAATTTGTATGTATGAATTGTTAACACTTGCCAAAAGTCAAAGTAAAAAAAAATAGCGGTGGCAAAATTGCGACAGGCATTCGTCAAATATTTTGATGACGTGAACGACAACGTTTATTGATTTTCCTACAGGCTGTATTCCTTTGTAGAACTTAAGCTTAAGAGCTCAAATGCACTGACATCCAGGTCGCTGCGACCTGGTAAACTACGGTAAGGATCGGTTCCCGAAAAAAGGTAAAATACGTAAGAGTTGAAATAAATAGTATAATGTTCAATATTGACATTTTATAAAGTTCAATATTTTTTATTATAAAACTTCTATTTGATTGATTCATTTTTTCAATTGACTTTAATGTTGAGAAATACTTGTAAATGAACTGTTAAACTCGTCAGACCGTTCAGTTTGTTTGTAACAAATAAAACAGATTGAATGACATATTATTAATAAACAATCTAGAAATACTGACTTTTTGGTTAATTTGGTGGCAATCATGACGGGTATTGTTCAGGAACTATGTTTCGTAATAATACAAATTTCAGGCAAAACATAGAAACCAAACAGGAAACCTTAACCAAGGTAAGAAATAAAATACAGCGTTAATCTATATTAGCGATGGGAACTATCGAATGAATTAGACTATCGAATGGTTACTGAATGAATGATTTTAACTATCGAATGGTTTTATTCGAATAAAATCATTCATTCATTTGTATACTAAAGCATATGTGACAACCTCGCCGTGCGACTAAATGGTTATCGTTGCGCCACGAGGAGCACGACTATCGAAGGCTTTTGATAAATGAAATTTAGTATTCGTCTGATTTTTGTGTGCGTCAGTGCATTATTAGTTCTTCCAAATTTTTATAACTTCGCCTTGTAAATACTATGCTATTTTTGCGTTTATTAAAATACTATAATAGTATGTTTACCTCATTATAGTTAAACCTCGTTTTTTTTAATTGACGACTGTGTGCGAAGTGGTCAAAATTTTTCCGAAAATTTGAGTGATTTTCCGTAGTCCGATCTTTCAATTATTTAATTTTATATGGTATATTATGGTTAGGTTAGATTGCACATACATATTTGTATTTTAGATGTTTTAATAATATGAATTAGTTGAACTTAATAATCATATTTAAGTAATGTGGTTAAGTAAATGGGGTTATCGAACTCAAATTTTGGGGTGAGAAAATTAAATTGAAAGTTTTACACGTGCAAATTTAAAAAAAAGTTAACAATGTTTGTATTTTGTTTATGCTAATTCTCTTACATATAGCTTTTTGCGAAGAAATATTTAATTTATTTGTTAAAGTAAATGCCAGTAAAAGTAAATATTATTTTTAAATAGTAATATAAAGTAATAAAAAGTAATATAAATAATTTTGATTTCTAATTTTTTATTTACATTTTCCTTCCATTATACTGCATGCTTAGAAAATTAATAAATGTTTATATTTCATGATTTTAAAATTTGTTGTTAATATAACAAATTAGTTCTGTAATTATTATTATTTAATATACCAACGTTGCCATATTTAGAGACTATATTATTTTTAAATAGGATCTAATATAAATACTTTTGACTTCTATTTGTTGTTTATATTTTGCTACTACTTAAAAAAAATGTTTATATTATTAAATGATTTTAAATTTTGTTGTTAATAGGTATAACAAATTATTACTGTTATTATTATTTATTAAACCAATCTTTGCTTAAAAACATTAAAAATCATTTTCCTACATCCAAAATAAAAAGTATTATTGCAGTGTAACAACAGAATATTAATAAAAAAATGCTAAACATATAGACATACTATCCCTAACTAACTAATGCTAAAGAATAATATTCTTTGCTAATACCAACTAATACGAATATATGGCAACAGCGCCCTTCATAATGTAATTTCTGTGTAAATACTAGCACCTCAATAAAAAAAATAATGTGTCCTTATCTTTATTTGGCTCCGCAAAAAATCAAAGATGCCGGCTTCTTTCATTGCCACCGACCGCTGTCGGGTTTCTAGGAAAGAAACCTACGTCGCCGGACGACAACTAAAATCCAGTTTATATTTTATTAAAATCGATCCTGACGAATAAATGAATTTGATAAATGAATGAATTTTATAAATGAATGGTTTTTGCTACCGAATTACTAGAATACAATATTTCAAGGCAGATGACGCATCTATTCGATAATTTTTATTCGAATAGTTTTCGACGAATGTTTTCTTACTAGCTATCGAATTATTCGAATGAATTGCAACTATCGAATGTTTCGATAGTATTCATTCGATAGTTCCCACTACTAATCTATATATCTCTAACTTTTTGTTACTCTGAGTGATCATAAAATTTACGAAACTTCTACCTAAGTAAACCCAAAGCGCACGAATGAAACGATTTTGGTCCATTTGACCTAATAATGTTGTACAGACAAGCCCCATTATGCGTTTGAAGCCCAATTGTATGATGTTTAACTAGTGTGATATTTATACTTACTTCTCTCGATTCAGCGAATCAAAGGCTGCCCCAATACCCCATTTCTTGTTCTGGTGCTCCACGCAATTGTGAACGCTGGTGACGTTGTTCATGACGTCGGTAAGGTTCCAGGGTTGGGTAGGATCGTCCACTACTTCGTTACTCGCTTCTGAAAGTACCAAAAAATACGAGATTCATTATAAAATTGAATATAGTTCTTGAATTAAAAGGCTAAGAAATGGGCGTCATAATAGCCATTTTGAAACACCTTTTTGTCAGTTTTTTTGCTTAGTGGATTTGTCATAACATTCCTGTTCTAAAAATGCCATAGTGTTTTAATCTGTACTCAGCGTTTCTTAAAATATTAAAAAAGCACATTTTTTATGTGTTTTGCATTTTTAGATTAAATTTTCTACAATTAATCTTCAATTGTAATATCTTAAATTACTGAGATATTTTAACTGGCAGTATTTTTTGAGGCGCTAATTTGCAAAAACCGCCTTATCCATTAAAAAAAAATGGCCTAATGACATATATTAATAGTGGACCCTGAAATCTACATAAACATAATCCCAAACTGCATCAAAAGTCGCCTATTCCTATATAAAATTCACTACAAATTCAGCCACTGCAGCAAAATCCATCTTAACCACATATATTTGGTTTTTATTGTCATTATTGTTGTAAATCCCGCATTTTTTCATAGACTTTTTACACAAGTATAATATTACTACTGACTTCTTATCCATTTCAAATCCTTACCTAATTTTAATAAAATAGCATATCAAATAAATCAAGTTACGATGCAAATACAATATGATCAGAAAAAAAAAACGGCGTCAGCGATGGCTATAAAATGAAGATCGCTGTCATTTAAGATGTAAAATTATATGTGACATGTCATCGATCGTCATTTCCTAGCCATTTTTACGATCATACGGACACCATTTTTTTTTCGATCATACAGTATCTTGCTGTAACAAACCCCGCAATATGCATCGTACTGCAACAAAACCCGCCTTATTCGACTTATTTTTTTTTCTTTTTCAAAACTTAAATATTAATTTTTATTTCTAGAAAAAAAAAAGATATAAAACAATGATTCTACTTAATAGACACGCTTTTTTGTAAAATACCGCTTCAAACATTTGCTAAAACTTGCTTTGCTTGTTTTTGCATATTATCTGGAAGCAAAGTTTTTGGGATGAATTTTGCAACTTGACGCCTCAAGCATACTTTGTTATATATCATAAAGCAGCATAGTTTTTATCAAACTGTGTTATTCTAAAGTATTACCAAAATTGGATGTTTATTGAGCAATTCCCTAAATAAAATTGAACCACCCAGTATATCTATAAAATATTTTAAATCTTTCATTAAAGCCTGCAGATTTTATTAAAAAAAAATAAAAACAAATCTTAAAACAAGAAACTTCATATGGAACTTTCTCAAAACATTGGGCCACCCTGTATAGCACGTAAAATACCGGGGATGGACGTTTACGCGTCCCTCCAATTATTTTTTTACGTCATTATTATCAATAAAAAAACTAAAACTTACTTTATTAAACTGCTGAAGAATTTTTACCCTAAAAATTTATATTTTAACACGTAAAAATATTTTTATACGCGATAAACTATATTTCGACACATCATTTTTTTTTCACGTAAAACACGAAGGTTTTATACGTAAAAAATGAGTTTTTTACATGTAACAAATTCGTTTTTTACATTACGTTTTTTCACTTGTTCCATCCCTGAAAAATACTACATACCAAGCTGCTGCAAGGAATTGTTGGCCTTATCGATAACGTGCATATCTTTTGGTCTCGTAGTCAGTCGTGATGCTATACGTTGAGGGACATTAGGCACTGCCTAAAAATTTCAATAAAATGTCACAATACACTAAAAAATCTGTCAAAATTTGAAACCTACCCCGTCTTCATCCGCCTCCAAATCGGCAAACATATGCGAAGGATTATTAACTTTTTGCAATAACTCTAGAGCCAGTCTTTTACTCATATCTCCTTGAAAAAAAGCATGCTAAAAATAAAAACGGTGTAATTAGATGAGATTTTTTTCTTGCAACAAGGACACATATAAATAAAAGTCGAATATAATTATAATAAAACAATACATAACAAGACAGGGTTTTTGAGGTGTGGAAACAAACCTGCAATAATTTCTCTGCTGTGGGTCTCTTTTTAGGGTTTTTTGTTAGGGCCACTTTGATAAAATTGTGAAATGTCGGGCTCCTGCAATTATTCAATAAGAAAATTGTTACCAATAATAATTTCCATTTGTTTTTATATCATCAGATCTATACAATCAACCAAGATTGTATAATAACAAATCTAAACCGTTTATTTAATGCCTATCTTTGGTTAATTTTCCCTCTCTAGTAATCACCTTTATAATTTTATTATAAATTGTAAGGTGGGTGAACCATGGAAGGCAATGCTCCTTTGAAGGCCAACTATAAAAATGTCATAGTTATTGTCATTTGGTCGTCGATGTCGTAAAATTGTAATTCGCACGCACAGGAAAATGCAAGTTTTTATGTAAATAACCTATTATTATATTATTTTTTTTACTGTAAATTGTCATATAAAGGTGCGTATTCATTATCCGCACGAACGAACGAACGAACGAACGAATGTTCGCTAGTGGTATGGACGGGGACCGCACGATAGAACCGCACGAGAAGACCGCACGCATTTCTTCATTCGCGCGCCAGTTCAAATCGTCAAGATATTGTTATAAACCTGTTTTTTTTTTGTTTATATACCGTCATTGAATTATCGCTAAGCAAGTTACTATGGAGCAGTGCATAAGGAGTCGGGCTAGGAAGCGAGAGACCGGAGTTCGAATCTCGGCCGGAACATCACTTTTTTTTTTTAAATACTGTTGTATTCTATAGTTTATTTTTGTAGTATAAGAAAAAGAACTATTTATTCTGTTATTTTTTAATCTCCGTTATTAATATAAATTGATTGTTAGTACAATACCTCATTTAATATAAAATAATATTCTACTTTTGAAATGTATCGGGCCCTAATTGTACCTAAAAGTAATATATTTTAGTGATATACCATATTGTAAACTATTTAATATTTCAGTCGCTTAAAAGTTAATTTGCATTGAATAATTGCCTACCATTAAAAGGAAATTTGAGCTATATAACCCTTGATGGGCATATTCTGGGTATGCAAATACTACTAAAATTTTGGGTGTGGTTCAACCGATTTATTCTCAAAACCAGAAACATCTACATATAAAAAGAAGCACAGGTCACTAATTATAATAAACTTCACCCTTGGTATTACTTCCACTAATTATAATAAACTTCACCCTTGGAATTACTTCTATCACAATTACAATACGTTCATCTGCATTGGCATTTTCTACTTTTCGATGGGAAACAATAAACTTCCCAACATTTTTTAAATGATGTAACAATTCCTCTTGTGGTTACTTTTCCATAGATATCCTCATCTCTGTCCTCATGTGAATTCAGAGGCAATAAAAATGAAAATTATTTACCATAAACATCGCAAACTAAAAACCTAATAAACAATTTTATACCGAATATAGAAATAAATTTAGTACCGTAAAATGGGGTGAATAGAAACAGTTTCGTAGGCTATTAGCGATATACCGGTTGATAAAAATGTGGTATTATGTTCCCGAATATTTTAAAACATGGGTCTTTGTTTGTTCTTTGCGTATACATATAATTTGATTTTTGAAAAATATGCATATAAATATTAAATAAAAATAACTTTTGTGTTTCTATTCACCTGCTATTCGGGAGAATAGAAACACACATTGACGTTAAGGTTTTTATCTATTCTATTTCCAACAAGGTGATTAGAAACAGATAATTATTACATATTTAAGTAGGTTTAGCAATAATTAACAATACATATAATATAACAACTTACATGTACCAGCTTAAGTATTACTTTAAAAATAAATATTTTATTTATAAAGTTTTCGCGCCATACAAAATAGGTGATAAATCGATCTCACATTTATTGATCAGCTAATTGACAGAAACAGTGCTGCCACAGATAAAAATATAGTTTTTACATTTTATTGTGTATTACCAATGATAGAAAAATTAGATATGTCGACTCTTTTTAATCTGAATATTTTTAATCGTGATTTGATTTTTTTCTGAAATTTTGTTTCTATTCACCCCTATGTTTCTATTCACCCCATTTTACGGTATTTTTACCTATTATCGTCCAAATCCATGTTAATAGATAAATATTATTTTTAAATATATTTTTGGAACTGCTGGTTTTAGTAATTATTAAATTAAACGAACTAAAAAGTCTTAAAAATAAACAATTCTTAACCATAACCTCAAAAATGCAGATCTCCTGTCAACTTTCTTTATTTTTTATTTATTCATTATTTTCCTAGTGACGTCACAGGTGGTATGCGCGAACTGAACGAAATTGGAGCCGCTATCGATCATACCTTGTATTCTTTGTCCCATGACGTCTAAACGCCTTTGATGTACCGACTCGAAGCGGATGGTCGAGCGCACGAACGAACGAACGGCCGCATGCGTTCGGTCCCCGTCTAAATATACCGCACTTTCATTCGTTCGTTCGTTCGTTCGGATAATGAATACGCACCTTAAATCTGAAAGCGCACGCAGGCGAACGCCTTTGATGTACGGACTCGAAGCGGATGGTCGAGCGCACGACCGAACGAACGGCCGCATGCGTTCGGTCCCCGTCTAAATATACCGCACTTTCATTCGTTCGTGCGTTCGTTCGTTCGTTCGTGCGGATAATGAATACGCACCTTTAGAATTTGTTATGGCACCAAAAAAAAAAAAATTTGCTTTGATTTCAGTTAAAATATCAGTATTGTTTAGAGTGGCTGAAAAGAGGGATCAGCTCGCCATCGTGATTGCCAACGTCAGAAGGACCTGACAAGGCACAGTAAGAAAGGTTCCTATGAAAGTCGGTTCCTTATAAGGCCAATCAAAAATTTGAGATGGTTGGCCTTGCTAGGGTACATGGGCCTTACTAGGAACATTTACAAATCATGAAAATATAAACAATAGGGAAAGTTGAAAACAATGTTTTATATTTATATTATTATTTTGGCTTTACAAAGAACAAACCCATAAGAAGGCCATTATAAGTTTTTTTTTTGTAATTTCATTCTAAAACCCATTGGCAACTTATTTGTTATCAATATAATACTCATTACTATAATTTTTAAATGAATTATTCCATTAATATATTCTTAGTTATACAATTGTGTTCAAGGAATGTTCGTTGGGGATTTTAAAGAAGATTATAATAGTGAAACATTTAATTTTTCGTTTAAATAAATTTGTTTAGTAAAAGCAAATATTTTGATTATTACAACTCTAGTTTTAAGTTGAACGACTGATTTATAATATTGGCCTTATATGGAGCCCTGTTCCTTTCATGGCCGTTTGGAAGAGCTTAATAAAAGTTAAGTTTAATAAATAGTGATTACATCTAGAATAAAAAAAAGTAATGTATATGGTACACAATAAAACAAAGTGTTAATTAATAATTTGTTTCTCTCATTTATCCAGCAAATGAACTAATAAAAATTGTTTATTCGTTAAACTGGCCTTCCATGGTCCACCCACATTATTCTTTTTAACTTATACTTCCTAAATGTAGTAAAAAAGTCACAATGAAGAAACAGCTATATTACAAAGAAATCATTTTTTAGGTGTATTTAAAATCTTATTATTTCAATAAAACGCTACAAATTTTTTTAGTGAGTTTCTTCAAGGTTAAATAATTTATCTGTTAAATAATTACTGTAGCTTCTGTAGAGCTAAGGTATTCTGTGATCATAAATCTCTAATCACTAGAAAAAAAATTGAATATTTAAAAAGAAATTGACGCTGCAAAAAATTGAATTAAAAAAAAATGTTTTGTTAATCAAATACTGAAATTCCTTCACAATTAATTATAAAGGTTAATTTGTAAGTTATCTACCAGTAATCTGCTTATAATTTGAATGGGACTAAAAGTAAAAATAATGCCATTTTAATTGTATGTAATTAGTAGATAATGTACTTATCTTAAACACCTATTAATTATCTTTAAATTACTGTTAAAAATCATTACTTACCATTTTTCCTTGTCTTTTAAAGTGGGTGGCTTGAATCCACTTTTCGACATTAAAAACAATGCCCGCATCGGATGCAAATCAAACATGGGAGGTTGTAACTCAGCCAGTTCTATAGCCGTAATACCTATAGCCCAAATATCACATAGCTGATTGTAACCACCTTTTCTTTCAACTGCTGCAACCTGAAAAATATCACAAAATATGTAAAAAAATACATTATTGTTATTTATTTTTGTTTACCTCCGGTGCCATCCAATATGGTGTTCCAATGAATGATTTCCTTTTATTTATAGTTGCAGTAATTTGAGCAGAAACCCCAAAATCAGCTAATTTAACATCCCCAGATTCTGTGAGTAAAATATTAGCCCCTTTGATATCCCTGTGCATTTTTCCCATCCCGTGTAAATAACATAGACCCAGTAGTGTTTCTCGACACATATAAGATATCTGGACTTCAGCTAGAGGTCCAGTAACTAAAATAATGCGTAAAAAATCATGTTTTTGGAAGGGTTTAATAATATAACAAACAACTCACTGTGGTAAATGTCTTGGAGGGACCCTCCACCACAATACTCCATACAAATCCATAACTTGTCACGTCTCAAATAACTACCATAATAAGCAATAATATTAGGGTGTCGACAATCTTTCATCATAAGAATCTCCTGCTGGATGATGCCAAAATCATCTCCTAAAATTGTGAATAGTTTTGTGAGTAGGTATAAAGGCAAAAGATATTTTTTTAAATCACTCACCAGCTTCTAATTTAATAACCTTAATTGCTGCCAACTCGTTAGTCGATAATCGTTTAGCCTGAAAACGCAAGCAGCAACCAAAACATTAATTATAAGGCGAAATTAAAAATAAAAATTCCTTTTTACAGACCTTATACACATCGCCATAAGTTCCACTCCCAATCCTCTGGATCAATTCGTAATCGTCCTGAGGATTTTTCCTGGATATATCCGAGCTCAAAACTCCTTGAGCCATTTTATATAATAATTAATCGCTTACATTTTATGTAGTAAAAAGCTAAAATAAAATAAAATACATGTTTACGTGAATTTGACAGCAAACGCCTTGTCAGCGGACATATTTTGATCTGACTCATTCATGTTAGCCAACCCAACAAAAATGATATTTCCTAAAAATATAATATTCGCACGGTTTTTCAGTAAATGCAATGTAAATGCGAAATAATTAAGAATAAAATTTTAAATATTTATAGGAATTATTTGATAATGTGAAATAATTAATAATATACATGAAAACGTTTCGATTTAATTTTTTTTCTGCAGATTCAATGTTGGCAATAAACTAATACTTAAGACACTAAAGGTTTATTTTTCTTCCATATTTTTTTCATTAATAAAAAGCCGGGATGATTCCAAATTTTACGCAGTTTTTGATATGAACAATATACTAAATATTTTGTTTCTGCAAACAGTTTGTAAAAACAGTTTAAAGTTGTTAAAATCAATTAAATCGTTGAGAGAAGTAAATCATTTAAACAAAGGTAGGTCAAATTTAATTTTTTTTCAATATTTTTTAAAAAATATAATAGGTATGATATTGAATAGAAAAATGTTATCTCTGATAAATACAGATAATTGTTCTTCAGGTCAACTTCTTACGTGTATAAGAACAATATCATTTGGCCTATTTATAAATTTATCTTATTTACATATTGTAATTAATCTATATTTCACGTAATAAATTGCAAAAAACACGTGCGTCTTTTTGAGATTTTTTAATTTAAAATATTTAGTTTGTGAATTGAAAGAAAAAACTCATTCATTATTGTCATAGGTACATAAATATTAGTATTATTTGAGGATGAGTTGTAAAAGCGCATGTATGTATTATTTTAAGTTACAAAAGCTTGGCAAAACATTTGTTTATGTATGTATATTTATAATCAAGGGCAATAACTTTATGATTAAAAAAATACGTGAGAAATTCTTGTACGAGGGTAGTTTAAAAAGTTCCGACGTTATAAAGATATAGAGAAATCAACAATATTATATATTGTTTTGTTGCTTATTAAGTTGCGGATTTTATTGCAAAAAAACAGCGTCCAGTTGGCTTAGAAATGAACATCAATGATATTTCCCAAATAATTTTACATATAAAATGATAGCGATCTTCATTTCATAGGCATCGCTGACGCCGTTTTTTCTTCGATCATATTGTTGAATCATAGATAATAGAGGTAATTAGTAGAATCTCACAAAAAGTGAAGACTATTGTTAACCAATTAGAACTTTATATTTTTTAACACTTGTCAAAAGTTAAGTGGAAAAAAGTAATCCTGGCAACATTGCGACGTCAAATATTTTGATGGCGTCTTCGTCTTAAGTACATGCCAAAAATTTAGGAAAATTTATTTTTATATTTTTGATGCCGAGGTTGGAAACTTATTTTCCGATTACCCCCGAATATAATATATTGTTTTTTTTAACTTATTGGTTGGTGTTTGGTTTTAGATATTTATAAATTTAAGGTTTTTTAAAATTAAAAATAAAATATACAGGGTGGCGCACCTCATTCGCTTCGGTTGATTATACGAGAACGGAAAGATGTAGACACAAAATTTTTATGGGTACATGTGGGGAGGCAATGTGTATAATTGAAATTATTTTGGAAATATACAGGGTGTCCCGACTAAAATAGATAGCAAAGTTATATCTTTTCTTATGGGACATTTTATTTTATTTTTTGATTCTTATACCTAAAAAAGGCATTTATTATAAGGGTTAAATTGCTGAAAAACTTTCGTTTTTGAGATATTTAAATATGCATGTTATAATACACACACCAGAAAAATCTAGGGATATCATTTTATTAAAGTTAAAAATAAATGTTTTCAATAAACAACCACATATTTGTAGGCCGATTCTTTCTACTTCGATTGAAACGAAGTAGTCACACTAGTTATTTCTAAATTTGGGATATTTGCAGAAGTGTTGAAAGTGTGAAATTGCATTTTTTGTCAAATGTATAAAAAGCCCCTAGCATCAATTGTTCGAATTTAACCTGTACTGGCAATGTTTTTATGATAACTGGCCAGAATTCATTCAAATAAATCTGTTTAGTATTAAACGACATTATGGAGCGTAGACATCTTAACAGAGACGAAATGCTAAGGGCCATGGGTATGCTTGAAGCTGGAATGCGCCAAATCGACGTAGCTAGAGCATTAAATACAACGAAAAGTGTAATATCGCGATTAAGTGCACGCTACCGTGAAAGTGGTGATGTTGCTGAAAGGCACACAGGGCGACATCGCATTACTACCCCTCAGCAAGATCATTTTTTACAATTAAATGCTCGACGCCGACCGACTCTTACAGCACCTGAGCTTAGTTTAATTCTCCAGGAAACACATAATGTAACCGTTAGTCCTGACACTGTTCGCAATAGATTAAGAGAGGTCAACTTAAGAAGCAGACGCCCCTGGAGAGCTCAACCCCTAACGAGAGGAAATCGAGAGGTACGATATTTGTGGGCTCAACATCATGTTCAGTGGTCGAATGAACAATGGGCCAATGTTCTCTTCACGGATGTGTCACGCTTTGGAATTCATCAGGATTCGATAAGGCTTAGGGTATGGAGAGAACCGGGAAATCTTATTCGGTTGGATCATGTTCAGGAAGTGCACCCTTATCAAGGTGGAACAGTTATGGTCTGAGGAGGAGTCCAGTTAGGCCGAAAAACCGATCTCGTTTTTCTTGAAAGGTTTGTAACAGGAATCACATATCGTGATTTAATTCTTGAGCCTGTCGTGTTACCATATGCCAATGATTTTGGGAGAAACTTCATTCTCATGCATGACAATGCACGACCTCATACAGCCAGAGTGGTAAGTGAGTTTATCAATGCTCATCAATTAAACATCTTACCCTGGTTGGCACAATCTCCTGACCTCAACCCCATCGAGCACGTATGGGACGCGGTCCAAAGAAGAATTTTGAGAATGGGTATGCCTCGTGAAACTCGTAGGGATCTAGTTCGGGCCGTGAATGCAGCGTGGCAGGCTGTACCAAAAGAAGAGAGCGACAACCTGATCAGGAGCATGGAGAGACGATGTAGGGCTGTAATGAACAGTAGAGGAGGCCATATTAAGTAAAAATGGTTTTATCTTTTTTTTTTTATTCACAGTTTAGAATAAAAAAATGTGTGTATTTTTTTTGAGTTCAATAAAAATCAAGGTAAATTTGAAAAATTCCGTAAATTTCGCATTTTTATTTCCAATACGTCCTGTAAACTATTTGTTTATTTTAATTTTATTATATCAGAAATGCAAATAATAAAATTACTGACGATGGCTGGATAAAATTGTAATATCCCTAGACTTTTCCGGTGTGTGTATAAAGAACAGATGATAAACACCTTTGTATATTACTTTTCAGAATTAATTCTTGTGCGGAGTTTAAAGGTAGAGAAATATACTTTACTGAAAAAATGTATTGCTCCCTTAAATACAGGGGTACCAAAAACTGCTGATCTGTTTTAAATATTTATTTACATAGAAACTTCGTTATTTTAAATGCAACACCCTCTATTTTTTTTAAATAAATAGGAGCAGATTTAAGTGCTCTTTCAAACTATATTAATGTTTTCTATACTTTTTTGGCTCAGATTTTGAATAAGAAGCGATTTTTCAATAAAATGGCAATCAATATGGCTAATATGGTTTCACCATGGCAATTTTCTAGTAACAGTTAGTAGCTATTTTCAAAATTGACATTATATAGTTTATGGACATTATTTAAATTTATAACAGATTATTTTTATTTAATTTAACTAAAAATAGTTTAATAAATATTTTTAATTTTATCAAGAAAAATGAAGAAGTACCTATCTGCTGGCGCGGCGGCAGGAATGGATATGTTACAAGTGAGTTTATCTTGTGACGAAAATTTTTTAGGGTTTAAAAAAGGGTTTATGCCCAAAGATATCTAAATAGGAATCTCCTTGATAAGCGTTCCTTTGAAAAACTACTTGTTCGCTACTTGTTCTACTACTAATTTCGCAGCAGGGTTGGCATGATATATATCAATATGATATTATATCGGATATCGCGGGTGATCTGGCAAATGCTCCTATCTGCCATTTTTTTTAAAATTGAGATTATTTAAGCATAACGTTCTATGAGTGATTATGCACGTATTGACATAAGGTAATATTTGAAAATAAAAAATTTATGGCACAATTTAAAGAAAAGAAAACCTCGTATCTGAAACCAGCTGTTATTCTGGTCACACAAACTCCTAACTACTTATTTTGATTAAAAAGCAAAAGTTCCTATCTATATCAAGTGATATTAAGAAGCAATTTCTCCTATCTTCATAACTTTGCGTTAAAAACCAGCGGGTCGTGACACGCTTCTTGTGCTTGTTGGATTTTTTAGTTATATTTTAAACTAAAATTAAGGTGATTTACTATATATTTACTATATATACTATAAAACTATGAAAGCAAATTATCCTATCTTACGTTTACCACAAACAAAATGTCCTATTCTTTATAATCCTAAAATACAAATAATCCTATGTGCCATTTTATCAAAAGCAAAAAATCCTATCTGATTTAATAAACAAGTTTACAGTTTAATTGCTTCCAAATAAATAGTATTTAATAGAAAACATACATTATAATGTAATTTCAATAGCCCAGCCTTCTAAGTCGCTCCGTTTTTGAAAATACCGTTTTTATTGCCTCCTGTAAAGTTAGTGTTTCATTAGATAGGAACATTTGCCAGATCACCCGCGATATATATCATTGATATATATCATGATATTTATATCTTGATATATATCATATTTATAAAAAATATAAAACTCAACAATCAGAAAGAAAAAAACAAAAAAGATAATACTGATTGGATCTGGGACAATTCAAATGTACCAAAAACTTTGCCAGAAACAGTATCAATTGATTCCGACTGAAACGAATCTGACGATGATTTACCATTAATGAAATTAGTATATCAAATATAAATTTGTTTGTTGTTATTTTTAGAATATCTGTTTATTTTTTTGAATTTCCGATTATTTTTTAGAATTTCCGTTTATTTCTTAGAATTCCTGATTATTTTGTAGAATTTCCGTTTGTTTTTTAGAATTTCTGTTTATTTTTTAGAATTTCTGTTTATTTTTTAGAATTCCTGTTTATTTTTTAGAAGCTCTGTTTATTTTTTTTAGAATTTCCGTATATTTTTTATATATTTTTGTTTTAATGTTGTTCCTATTATGTACAAAGCAACAATAATTAAGTTGAAATAAAAATATTTTCTTGAGCTCTTGATTTTACTTCATATTAAACGCAGTTTTATATAAAAAATAAAAACAAAAATAAATATCAAAACTTGATATATATCGGATATACATATATCAGATATATATCGGATATATATCAGATATTTGATATTTATATAAATATCATGATATTTGCCAACCCTGTTTCGCAGAGCTGATAGTGTGGTTTATGAAAAACCTATTAGACAGAAACCTGTTGTTGGAAGTGAAAAAAATGAATTTGCCCTAATTGGCCCTTTTATAGAAAATGACACATATCTACATCAATATACAAGCCACAAGCCATCGTAAAATAAATCAAAGAACTACTTCTTCGTTTTTCTTGATAAAATAATAGATACTTCTTTATTAAACTATTATTGGTAAATTAAATAAAAGTAAACTGCTATGACACACTGTAGATTTTGAAAATAATAATAAATTATGCACATTCTTACGTATTCCCATAAGATATTTTGTATGTATCTACATCTTTCCGTTTTAGTCTAATTATTAACTAACGCGAATAAGATGCGCCACCTTGTATATTATGTGCCATTACACCAGATTAAAACTTACTTTGAAAGGGTATAAAAATTGTCTAAGAATTATATTTTCATCTTTTGTTTATTGTGTATTATAATTAATTTATTATATTGGCTTAGCTAGGTTATAAGAGGATCTAGTATTAAATAAAAAATCACTTATAGACAACATATTAAAAATGTATTTACAATCTTTTAAACCTACATAATATATTAAAGATAAATAATAATATAAATATTTCATATTTTCACAAGTAAAATGTACAATAGTTTAATATAATTTCATAATTTCCTCTGAGTATACAGTCCAATGCTTAACATATATTTAAAATTCATAAAAATAAGTCATAAGATACTTATTGCATGTCAAAAATGGATGGTTGTAGAATTCTACCTAAACAAAATATTATCTTTGAAAAACGTTCTTTTTAAAATTATGTAGATGCTTCATAGAACTGTATTGTACAATTCTACTAAAGCTTCTTTAATCCTACATTATGGAAACCTTTATTTAGTCAATAGTTTTGTAAAAAATCTGTATTTTATTACATGTAATATTCTACAAACTAAATCTGTGTCAATTAATTTTGACTTAATGATTTAACACTCCATATTATAATAATCTCTAAAAACCTGTATTTTTAGTCCATAATTTTAATAAATGCATTCACATAACAGTAACATTGATTTGATCCAAAATCACAATTATGTTTGTGAAATTATTGACAATTTTCATATTTAGTAGATTTTTATCAGATAAAGAATTTATTAACAATTCACTTTGTCAAGCGGAAAGAAAAAGTTTAAAATAGAACCTCTTAGTGTGATTTTGCAGAATATACAACCAACAAAACATTGGGTCCTAAAGAAATTGATCTCTAATATAGCCCTTATGTATTCCTCATTTAGAGCCTATATTTAAGGCATATTTGTTCTTGGTATCAACAAAGAATTATATAAACATTCTCTAAAATATTTTAAAGTATATTTTGACACTTGATCTTAATTTCCTGATTTGTTAATATCTGGTGTTGGATAATTTCTTTTAAATAACTGTTTTTTGCTATTAAATTTTTGAAGTCAAATCCTAGATTTATTCTATTTCACATTTTCAACCTTATATCAATTATAATTAAGCAAATACAGTTTTTTAAAACAGTTTTTTCTTTCTGTGTATGGCCAACCTAAAAATAAGAGAAAAAATCTCGACGAAACGATGTAATATTAGTTGCATAAATTGTAAAATTACAACTGATTGGTTCTCTTCATTCTTTGACGTAATTTCAATGCATATGGGTCTTCTGAAACATGTTTTAAATACACATAACGCGTTTTCAAAGTAAATATATTAAGAATATTATTAATTTGACTGCAAATAAACTATGTATTGTTATTATCTTTTAAAACATCTTTCAATATAGAACTGGAATTCCTTGACTGCCCAAAATCGGCAAAGGTCGGCAATACTATCTCGTTTAAAACAATAGGAGTCTGTTTTTTACTACTTTCCTCTTCACTAGCTGTAGGCTTGACCATACTACTGTCCAACAAATTCGGAACAATCCTAGGCTTTGATTCGTTCTCCAGAAACTTCACAAAGGCCTGTGATAACGATTCTTGTGACATATTCTGGCCTTGAGCGTGCGGTGATAAAATTGAACCCAACCAAGAACCCTGTTGTTGGGATTTGTTTAATTTCACCTTGTCGTGGTCCTGCTGGTTGAAATCCAGTACTGTTGCGATTATTTTCAGTACTTGCGTTTGGTCTTTGGTCCAGTTGGTGTTGCCCGACGACAGGAAGCCCACTACGAGGTTTTTGATTAATCCTTTTTCGACCTTGCCATCGGTTTGGCTGGTTAGGTTTTGTATTTCTTGCTGGCTCTTGTTCAGTTTTTGTTGGAGTTGGGACACTGTAAAAGTCAATTGGTTCAGGTATGGTTTGGTATAATTGGATTTAGAGTGAACATAAGTACAAAAATATGACATGATTTATATACAGGGTGTTAAAAAAATAGTGTATCTAACTTCGTATCTTAACATTTTAATGCCAACACGAATGGCGATAGTGTAAAATTCCGTAACAGTCCTGAAAGGGTACTTTCCATTGGGATAGAGACTATTGGTGATACTTCTTTTATCCTTATAGATACAGTAATTACAACAAATGACATAAAAACTTAGGACGTTTTTATGTAAAAAAGGTGCTCTTCTTTAGCTCGAAACTGTGAACGGTTTTCAAGATATCGAATTCAGGAGATTAATTTATTTGAATTATTTACATTTTCGAGGGTTGTAACCAGGGTGTAAAAAAATCATGATTAAAAAAAATAAAAAATTGATTCTTTTGATTTTAATCAGATTTTTTTGATTTTAATCGGCGTTTTTTATTTTAATCAATTTTCTATTTAAAGTCCTATCCTAAATGACTAAATCTTCATAACTCTGCCCCGTATCGATAATATTAACACTTCTATAGCGCGTGTCGTTTTTCCACATCGGTCACCGATGTATTTTATTCTGTAAACTTTGCCGATGCCTCTATTTCCGTAAAAAAATCGGCCGCTTAGATCAAAGGGATTTTTTTTGGAAATAATCATGACTGTCTTAAGTCGGGGAGTGAATAAAATTAGTACCATCTAATGTTCAAAGTGCAAAGTACTTATTGCAGAACAAAATGTCGGTAGAAATTTGGAATGAACTAGAAGATAAATTACGAAAGGCGGAAGTTAGCTTGATCAACATTCAGCTGTTTACAAAAGGTATAAGACAGCCTCGACTCCAGCTTATCTTTTGACATTGATTAGTCCTCGGGAATAAAAATATAACCTGACATCAGAAGAAATTAGTTCTGCAGTAGAGTTTGCGAATGAAATGTATTCAAATACCGGATTTCTGGCACTTCACAATTTCAAAATAAATCTCCAACATGTGTAATGGATTCACACGAAATAACTTCAAATATCGGTCCAAGATTTTAATAGATGAATAGATATTAGGGATATGTGTTATATGTTATAAATATTCTCGCCAGCAAAATTAACGCATAATCGTATATTGTCTTATAAGTTTTATTGTCTGTATTTTAGATCAGTTATATTGGCCTAAAATTACTTCTGTTTATTATTTCTTGCTGAAACGATCCTTTTTTTCATGACTAATAAGAATTTATCAATAGTTTTTATAAATTCCCAAAACAGGTATATTTGCTGAAATGCTCGAAGTCGTTTATTTTAAGATCATTTTATTTGAGTGAGCGGCTGTTGTCTGTTAAACACTTAAATCAGTAAAATGAACCCTAACGTACGTCAAAATCGCAATCTCACCCCCGAAGAGTGTGCTGCAGTTATTGCATTATTTGAAGAAGGCTTGTCTCAGGTACAAATAGCGGAAAGATTTCATGTTGGACAATCAACGATCTCGCGAGCAATAAGAAGATTCCAGGACACTGGAAATAACCAGAGAAGACCAGGCCAAGGCCGTGGCCGAATAACCGATGCCCATCAGGATCGATTTTTGAGATTTCAGGCTCTGCGAGAAAGGTTTGTGACAGCTACATTGCTCCGCTAGAATTTTATAAGGCGATATAACCAACAAATAAGCAGCGATACGATAAGAAGACGTCTTAGAGAGGATAATCTGAGACCCAGAATGGCTGCAACTGGACTACCGTTGTCCCCAGAGCACCGAAGAGTCCGAGTGGCTTTTGCTAGAGAGCATGTAAATTGGGAAAACCATTAATGGTCGAACGTATTGTTCACAGATGAGTCTAGGTTTTGCCTATATGGCAACGATCGTCGTATTCCAGTATACAGAAGGCCGGGCGAACGATTTGCGCAATGCTGTATACAACCAAAACATGCTTATAGTAGTGAGTCAGTTATGGTATAGGGCGGCATTAATATGGAAGATTGAACAGAACTGGTGATCATTCAGAGAAGCCGTCTCACTGCTCACAGGTACATTGTGGACATTTTGGAGCCTCAAATGGTACCTTTTGCTCCCTTTATAACGGACAATTTTCTCTTTATGCACGCTAACGCCAGGTCACATTTTGCCAGAGTTGTCCACAATTACTTGGAGGAGGTCCAAATCGAGACGATGGATTTTCCAGCGCATAGCCCAGACCTCAATCCCATCGAACCTATCTGGGACATGATGGATAGGCGTCTACGAGCTCTACCAAATCCACCCAACAATTTAAATGAGTTATCGCTAAGACTAGAGGAAGTATGGGACGCTATCGAGCAAGATGAAATCAGGAATGAGGTTTTCAGCATGTCCAGACGTTGCCAGGCCGTAATCCGTGCCAGGGGAGGCAACACCCGTTATTAAACCGTGCCTTCTGATTATTTTTTTGTAATGCTTTTGTACTGCGTTTTGCACATTATTCTTTGAACCACTGTATTTTCTTGTTGAGCTGGTTAATAAAATTTCTTTGAAATTTATTATTTTGGTAACGAGTTGTCTAACAAATACATAGTAATTTTACTTTTGAATTCGTTTTAGTTTTTCCAAAAAATAAAATTATGCGTTAATTTTGTTGGCGAGTTTATTTTACAATTATTTTTCGATCTATTAAAGTTTTTAAACGTTACAACAGCAAGTGTAACTTTGTACTTATTTCATGAATATATAGGGTATATTTGATATAGGAATACTTTTTTATAGCTTTATAGGAAAAGTTTTTCTAATTTTCACAGTTATCTTTCGATTTATCATAAGTTTTTAAACAAGTTGATTTTTTTGATTTAACTCCGTGATTAAAATAAAAAAATCCGTTGATTTAAACCATTGCACCCTGGTTGTAACTTCTTCGGGAAGAATTTTAGGGCATATGTTCATGAGAACTTTTTTATTTTTATTTGTAGAATCACCCACCGAAGTTAGATACACTATTTTTTGACTCCCTGTATATGGGGTGGTAAGTTCTAAAATGCTTCATTTTAGAGATACAGGGTGTAGAAGTTTCATTTTTATTTCGATTTTTTTCTAAATAATATCTGAATTGAGAATAGTAGTAATATTAGAAATGAAAAATGATGTTGTTAATGTATACAGAAGAAAAAATCATGCATATATCGTTTCCATAGTTATGTTCACCACTGTTAAAGATTTAATTCAAGTTAAATTATGTTAATACTAAAAAATATTAATCAAAAAATAGATGACTTAATTAAAAATAAATAAATAATAACGAAATAAAAGGATACCAGCGGCGTGCGGTCGGGGTCGAAACACAGGGTGTAAGTGTTACTCAGGGACCGATTGCTGTTAAAATGGAAACCAGTACCTGATGTAATACTCAAACCCTAAATTTCGGTTTATTTTAAAACTTGCGTCATGCCAATGTGTATGAGTCCATGCTAAAAAACAAACTGAAAAAAATGTCTGGGAAAGTATTAAAAAAAATAATGTCAATATATTTTAGTCAACTAAGTAAAACATTACATCGGGGTTGCAAACATTCGTGTTATTCTATATAAACGATAAGTATTTTTATTTGAATTAGTGTATTAAAATTGAAAAAAAATACACACGGGGTTTTACAGTTATTTAACGTAAAAGATAAATCTGGTTCTGAATATTTACCAAATTTAGTTTATAAGTTTTATCATTAAATAATCGAAGGAACATCCAGTGTACAACTAAAAAGTTATATACAGGACTTTTAGAAGTTTTAGTTTGTACATTTGCCAATGAACTGATCGTGTATATAGAATATAATTGTTCTCACACTATTTGCCTATAAAAAAGTAGAATTTAGCGCTTTGTTATGTATAAACCGGTAACAGGGAATCGTTGCACCAAAAACGGAGAATAATAATCGATGATAATACTGGCGAGGTTAAGCCCTAGACGTCATTTTCTTGGCCCGTACATTTCTTTATTTTTCACTGGTGCTTACTGCCAGTTGGCCTTAAGAAGGTTGAAATTTATTTTTATATTGAGTAAAAATGATTTTTAAACGGTGTAGTTTAAAATTAGAAATAAAACATATTTTTTTGGAAATAAATTTTTAATTAGAAATAGACTTTTTTAATCTTTCTATAGCGTTAATTTTTGACAAGTTTTATGTCTTTTTTAGTAAATGATATCTAGAGATTAACCCCACCAAAATTATCATCAATTGTCATTCCTCAGCCGTCTTTGACGCCTTTTTTTTATCATGTTTGTAATATGGCAAATAGTGAAAAATAAAAAATGTTTAAAATTATACTAAACGCAGAGGTCCCAGTTATCATAATATCAAAAAAGCCTCTTTACTAAAAATAATCAAAACAGGTTTTCTCATAATTACAATTTGTCAAAAAAATCTCCAATTATTTTTTCTCAAGTATGCGATGTGGCGTTATTTTACAAGAGACAAAAAAGTAAATATGCTCGTCGGTGGAGTCTATTATATAGGTGGAAAATATGTCATTCAAATCGGAATAACGGTGTTTATTTTTTAAAGTTTGATGCCCTCTAACGGACAAACGAAGCACTTTTGTATAGAGGTAAATTGTGGCCAATAAACTTATTTTGATTCCAAAAATACGAAGAAGTTCGATGTCCACGGAATATTGGGACACCCTGTATATTTTTCTATAAACTATTGTTTTTTATGTTATTTTACTTTATACAGGGTGGTCCGAACTGTATTCCTGAAACTTCGGCAGTATAGTCTGCAGATAAAAATAAGTAAAACAGTTTGTATAAATGTATGTCCTAAAATGCTTAGTTTCGGAGATACAGGGTGTAGAAGTTTCATTTTTATTTCGAATTTAAATAGTTTCTGAAGTATCGTCAATATTTGGATGAAAATTGGTGTCTGGGAGTTTTTTGACATGAGAAATTTGATTTTGATGTCAATATTACTCCTATTTATATGGGGCGCGACCTACATGTTTTACCTGTTTTGAAGAGTAAT